TAAAACGTGTTGCTCATTCCTGTTGTTCAGACACATCAGAGACTATCATGCCACATCAACTGCTCTGTGAATACATTCTGTTCTGCTTAGGCCAGCTGCCTTCCTCCTCTGCATGCATGTGCACACCTGTGTACACCTGTGTACACCCTGTCTGTAGGCTGTGTACATGTGGTGCTGTGACTGGTCTGAAGGAGCTGCTGCATCTTGACTGACTGCTACAGATGGTCCTATATGCAAGTGATGTGAGGGAGTGAGCTAGAATACTTTTAACAACAAAACGTTTCAGAGCTCATGGATATTGCACATGTCTTCTAACAGTATTGATTTTATTTATATTCTCTATTGATACACATTGATTAAAAACTTTTTAGAACTTTTGTTTCATTTAGAAACCAGTGAAAATATGTAGCTGTTTTAAAGATTTATGACAGTAAAGTGATTTGGGGTTGGTTGGTTTTACTTTTTAATTTTTGAGATACAACTCCTTATAATCCAGGTTGTCCTCAAACTTATTATGACCAGGAACTCCTGATCTTCCTGACTCTGCTTTCTGAGACCTGGGACTACAGGGTGTGCCTTTTCCAGCTAATTTTAATTTAATTTAATTTTTAAGTCAAGTATGTTTATAATTGATATATAATCCAGGATGGCCTCAAACTCCCAACAGTCTTCCTGTCTCAGCCTTCTGAACACTGGAATTAAAGGCATGTGTCACTATGCTCTGTCTTACTAAGCTATTTTAATGATTGGGAAAGTTCAGGGTAGGAATGTAAGTAAAGATCATAATACTGATGTTAGAGATTGAGTTCTCAGACTTTTGAAGAATGAGGGGGGATCTGCAGAGTGGGGGGGGGCAGGAAGGACACCAGGATGAAGAGATTCCAGGCAGTGAAACCCAGGGAAAGAACCATTAAGACAAAGACTTTGAGAGATGATGAGAAGTACTCATGAACGGAGGTGGTCTTTGGTTGTTAGCATTTAAGTAAAGGGGCAGACCTTATGTTCCTGGGGATAGGATTCCTCATTGGAAGATTTTTTTTGTTTTGTTTTGGGGTTTTTCTTTTTTGTGGTAAATTTTGCTACTATAGCACATGGTTTTATTGTCTTTCCTATTATATTCTGTTGTTATGATTTATTTACGGTACTTTGTTTCTTCTTTTAATATCCAGGGTTAGATATACTAAGTAGACACTTAGTCATAATAGGTTTACACACAAACATCATAGGAACACTTTCATTATTTTGGAACAGGGTGTCTTCTAGTTTAATTACTGCAGATCCTCCCCCCTCCCCAGGGAAGTCCTGAAAGGACCTACTGCATTACTTTTCTGTTCCCAACCCTCTGGCACCAAAACCTTCTGAAATTGCAAGTTGATGTCAGAGTGGATAGTGGCACCATCTAGTGGTGATTTTGAGATCTAAGTTTAAAGTCATTTGATAATCAGCAGCATAGAATTTCAAAAGTAACTTTCTATAATTTTTACAAATTGCTGGAGCATTTGTTTAATATTATATTTTTGAGCCTCTATAACTTGAGGAATCAACAGATAGCATAAATATAATTTATAAGTAACATGGTTATAAACAAGTGATTTATATATTTTATACTTTTTTAAAACAAGGTAGCCAGACTGCCCCAATCTCTTCTCTTTTTTCCATTTTTTTAAATTTCATTTTACATTCCAACCACAGTTATGCCTCCCACCCCTCCTCCCCTACAATCTCCTCCCACCTGCCTTGCCTTCCCCCAGACCACCACCAGTCCACTCCTCAAGAGTAAGGGCTCCCATGAGGAGTCAACATAGTCTGGCATAATAGGTTGGGGTAGAACTCAGTTCCTCGCCGGTGATCTCTTGATCTCCTACCTCTGCCTCCTAAGTGTTAAGGTTGTTGATATAAGACCCCACACTTGCTACTATGTGTTTATTTTAATTATATCTTGAAAATGTGATGCTTAGAAATTAAAGAAAATATTTAGTTTGAAGTGTAGAATTTTAGAGACTATGCCATTTGTGGCCATAAGAATTATCCAGTGAGAAAATGCATTGTTAAACACACTGTGGATAAGACAACACTCTGTCACATACATTATTGTTTATGCCTTTGAGTGACAGTATCAAGCTCATGAGGTAACTTTTTTCCTAATAGTCTGTTGCTCCATTTCATTTTTTTTTCTATTTGGGCAGTTTAGAAAATTAAACAACCCTGTCCTTTTCAGTTCCTTGGTGATGCCTGCTGAGCATGTCTTGCCAGAAAGACTTTAGTGCTGAATCCTACTTTTTATTTCTTTGTGAATTTTTTTAATGTATGTTCTTGTGGGAAAGCTTTGTGTGGTTGCTCTTGGAGACCAAAGATGGGAGAGTACTGGAGCTCTTGGATTGAGAGTTGCAGTCACTTGTGAGCCACATGTCATGGTGCTAGAAACTGAACTCTGGTCCCTTGCAAGAACTGTACACAATCTAACCGCCAAACACATCTCCCCAGCTTCACATTTGTGGGTCTTTAAATATAAGCTTTAAATGTAAGACAGATACCCTGTTGGTGATTTGCATCTGTGACAGGGAATGGCATTTTGACCATTTAGTCTATTCCTTATTTATAGAGGCTATTGAATAGGGAGAGTGTTAATAAAAATAAAAACATTTGGTAAAGAATCTATACTCACCTGCAATCCCAATACTACTCAGATAGAGGCAGGAGTATCAGGAATCAAAGGCCAACCTTGGCTACACAGTTCAGGGCCAGCCTGGGCTTCCAGAAACCCTGTCGTAAAACATGCAAACAAACATCACTTTCATGCATAGCATAATAGAAGTATAAAATTAATTGCCATTTTTGAAAAAATGGGAAAAGCACCTATTCACTGGCAGAGGGAATAGAGGGTGTAATTATTACCATGAGACAGCTGGAGAGGCTGAAGCATAGGGAGGGTAAATGCTTTCACAAGGTCTCACCACCTTTACTTTAGTAATATGAGCACTTAGGCCCAGATGTGAAGGACCCTAAAGTCAGTGCTTTTGCTGTCAGTGGGAAAACCACAGTAGGAAAATGAACAGGAAACCTCACTGGTTGATATCTCTTATTTAAATACATGCCTAGTGTTTGATAAAAATCTTGGTTCTAATTTATTGTTCACAACAACTGTATTTATTTGTTTCTACTCTCCATTATAGCTGACAATTTCCATCTTAAAGGAAGGTTTTTGAACTTGCCTTTCAGGCCCAATGCTTATTTCTCCTTGTCCATGGTTATAAACAACAGGGTACTTGGAGGCAAACTACCCATGGACCAGCATTTTGCCTGTGTAAGCACTCTTCATTCAACTCTTGGAAGTGAAACACAGTCTTTCCTCCATATTCACAGATGTGGTATCCTTAAAACCAGCCAACTGCAGATTTAAACTGTAAGGGCTGTTTAGATAGCATGTAACTTGTATGAAGAATAATTAGAGGCTACAGATTATTTAAGATATGAAGAAGGATGTACATAGGCTTTATACAAGTCTAGGATATTTTATATTAGGTACTTAAGCATCATGGATTTTGTTATTTGTGAGGGTGCCTAGAATCAATTTCCAGTGGATGCTGAAAAATGACTGTATTTGCCTGTGACTCTAAGCAGATGGAGTGTATTGGTAACAATCACTTGAGCAGAAACACTTAAGCTCTGGTTTGTACATACTTACAAGTAAGGGTTACTGTGTAAATAGTATGTGTGGGTTTTCTATGTTTTTATATTAAAATTTTCATCCCTACTTACAATTTCAATTGTGGGGCTTTTGCTAATTTTACTTGGTTCCCATGGCTTCTTTTGACCTGCCTCCTCATTCCCCCGTCCCTATTACCCCACAGTATGTATATAAGAATAAACAAGCCATGTGTTATATAATATCTTGCCATGCATACATATACTCATTTATCAAATGTATGTATAGATAGACATGTACATAACTAAAATCCCATACAAAAATGGGATCATATTCTAAGGTATTACATATACCTTAGAAATATAGGCACTTCCAATGGGCTGTCCCATTCCTGAGAGTCCTTCCCGCTGATTTGTAAGCTATGTGTCTGGGTGTTTTCTTGAGTGTTCTTCATAGTAGCAGGAGGGAAAGGAGATCACTGAATAAATCATGCTGTATTTACACCACAGGATTCTAGGCAGTCGCTACAAAAACCAATTTGATTTAAACCAGAAGTGTCTCCTCTACCATTCTCTGTTGTGGATTGCACTGTGTTTTATTTCTTTACTGGCAATTTAATGAGGCTTCTAGAGGGAGATGAAATAAATGACAACAGGCCTCTTTGTAATCGAAAATCCGGTGAAGTAAATTTGAAGACCTGATTTAGCCTCTATTTCTTTTCTTACTAGAGCTGTGAGGGTTTCTCCAACTTTTTCTGTCCTCTTACTTGACCTTCTGTATTATTGGAACAAGAAATTCACAGCCTGCTAAGTGTCAAGGTCTTCTTGCCTGAATTTTAAACCCTTGGCCTTTTTCACTAGTGACGTTGGAAGAGTACCATATAAGGTATGGTCTCTACTGTTAGTCGGTTGGGTTTTGTTTTTGTATTGGGTTTTGTCTTTGTTTTTTATTTGTTTGTTTGTTTTGAGCTTCATTATATAGTTACATGCCTCCAACTCACAGCAATCCTCCTCTTAAGAGAGCTGAGTATAAGTGTAAGCTACCATGCCTGACTTAAAACATAGTCTTTGGGTTTTTGTGTGTTTATTTTTAAGACAGAGTCTCACTCTGTAGCCCAAGCTGTCCTGAAACTCACTGGCTTTGAAATCACAGCAATTCTCCTGCCTCCGCCTTTTAGGAAATAGGATTACAGACGCAAGCCACATACCTCACCCAGCTGTAATGTGGTGTTTAAGTAAACTGAGAACTGATAAATTGTCAGTTCAGAAACAGTTTCTAGAACATTTGGCCTTGTTTGGTAATAAATTAAGAGGGAAAAAAACCACCCTAGATACCTTTTCTTATTTCTATGCAGATTTGAGAAAGGACGCATCTACACATTCATTGGAGAAGTGGTTGTTTCTGTGAACCCCTACAAGGCGCTGAACATCTATGGGAGGGATACAGTTGAGCAGTATAAAGGTCGTGAGCTGTATGAGAGACCTCCTCATCTTTTTGCTATTGCTGATGCTGCTTACAAGGCTATGAAGAGGAGATCAAAAGACACCTGTATTATGATATCAGGTATTTGGAGGGGGGCCTGGTTCCAATGTGAAAGGTATTTAATTTTAATCTTTTTTTTTTCTTTTTTCTTTTTTTTTTTTTTTTACTCAAGAATTCACACAATTGATGAGATTTTCTTTTTTTCTTTTAAACTTAGAAACCTAAGATATTGTGTAGGAACAGAAAAGTAATGAGCATTGTATACCCTGTTTGATCATCCTCTAGTCTTAGTTTTGGAATCTGAGGCAAGAGCATTGCTTGAACTTTTGGAAGTTCAAGACCACTCTGAACATCATAACAAGACTTCATCTCACAAAAAGAATACACATCACACTTGCATGCCTTTTGGTCATTTGAAGACTGAGTCAGCATGGGATATGATTCCTCCTATCTGAAGCACACAAGAAACACCAATTAGAAAATTACAAAAATATTCAAATGTTAACAGAATAATGTGCTTACATGCCAAATGTGAAGGATGAACTCAAAGTCAGACTGGAGCTTGGAAGTTGGTGCTATGGTGCAGACAGAGGTGGGGATGCACTTCCTGAGCTTGGACCTGAGCCTTTTGGAGGAAAGGATGAGCTGCACCCACATGCTCAGAATGAGAGCCTAGCCACTCACACGGTGCTAAGTACTTTGCAGCATCTCAGCTAGTAAAATGAGGACAAGGAAAATACCTTTTCCCTGGTCCAGAATGGCCTCTCAAACTATGGGAAATCTCTGTTGGCGCAAATAATACTTCCTATTTAGTTTAGTGGCTTTGTGCTTTTCAAAATATTTTTATGATCATTATTTTATTTTGATTATCAAAATAACCTTAAGTGGTATGTAGCATAGTTATTTTTCCACTTTACAGATAAGAATGCTAAGGGTCAGAAGATTAAATAACTTAGTGTTGGAATTGGAGAATTATAGCCCAGGACTAAACTGTTTTTTTTTTTTTTTTTTTTTTTTTTACTAATTAAAACATTTTAAAAAATTTTAAAAAGTTAACCAATTAACACAAATTTATGAATGGAAATAAAAAGTCTTTTACTCTTTTTTTTTTCATGCAGTGTATTTTTTTTCAAAAAAATTTTTTTTCACCCCCAAGTCCCTCCCTTCCAATTCTTCTCACCACCACCATTTCCTCCTCCCAACTTCATGACTTCTTTTTTGCTTATAACCCACCCAAATCTAATTGATACTAGATACCTTTATACGTACATGTGTAGGGCCATCCCCTATGAGGATCCACACCCCTGAAAAAAACTGATGCTCCTCAGCTAGGGATGGGCCTTGGGAGCTCCTTTCCCATCCATGCTAGATGTTGGCAGGCATGAATCTCATGCAGGTTTTAGTGCAGGCAACCACAGCTACTTCTTGTGAGTTATGAGTACAGGGGCCTGTTATGTTTAAAGACAGTTTCACAGCAGTCCTCCCCAACTTCTGGGTCTTAAAACCTTTCCACCCCTTCTTCAGTATTCCTTGAACATTGTAATATAGATAGCCCATTTATAGTTAAGCCCTACATAGACCCTTATTCTCTACATTTAGACCAGTCGAGAGTCTCTGTATTAACCACTGTCACTGCAAAAAGAATTTTCCCTTGTGAGGACTGAGATCTGTATTACATATAGATATATGTAATATATATATTGGGACTATGTCCATTTATAAAAAGCATAGTAGTAGATTCCTCTAGGGCTATAACCTTCCCAATCACAGGTTCTTGGCTAAGTTTATAGTACCTGGCATGAGCTTCCTCCAATGGAGTGGGCCTTAATTCCAATCAGATAGTAGTTGGTTACTGCCATAACATTCTTGCAATTACGGTAGCTCACAGGGTAAAAATGTTGATGAACACCAATATCAGCAGCCTGTATAGCACTTCTGGGCACTGTGAAAGCAAGCAAGCAACCAGTCAGTGACAGCTTTATTTCTACATCTCCAAAGTATATAGTATCTTCAGCAGTAGGGCCTTTACTATTAAGTCTTAGTGAGCAACCATGAGCAATGGCAATAGCGGTGATTTTTTTTTTTTTTTTTTTTTTTTTTTTTTTTTGTCAGAGAAGGTTACTCTGGGATCCATCTAACATGGGGGAAACTTCACTTGTTCTTGAACATCTTGTCCCCCAACATTCCAGAAGCTGCAGATGGTTAATATGTGTCCTTTTGCATATTTTCTTTCTATGTGTAGATACACAGAGTCACACATGCATAAATAAGTAAAAATACAGAAGTGTAAGCTATACATCGCTATTACAAATTTCCACTCAGCAGTTTATAGTGGACATATTGGTCATTAGGGTTTCTTTAGCAATCCCATTACATAATTGCTATTTTTATCCAATTCTTTATCAAGCTATTAGCCCAAATTTAGCCATAACACATAATCTATAAAAAGATAGGAGATTGGGACTGAAGAGATGGCTCAGTGGTTAAGAACACTGCTCTTCCAGAGGACCTGGGTTCAATTCCCAGCACCCACATGGCAGCTCACAACTGTCTGTAACTTCATGATCTGACACCCTCACACAGAAATACATGTAGGCAAAACACCAGTGCACATAATATAAAAATAAATAAATTTTTTAAAATGATGGGAGATTGATACATTTTAGTTACACTACATTTAAAACTATTCCCTTGGGAGAAAGTTTAGTAAGTGAAGTTTTGGTGTTTAAGCAACTAGATAGAACTTGTGAATCTTTCCCTCCACTACTGCCACTTGTACCCATTATCTCACTATATGGTGATGCCTTGTGTCTCAGACATGGTGTGTTCTTTTTTCACTAAAGTTATTATAAATGTTTGGTTTAAGACTTTTGCTTTTCTTTCTTTCCTTTTTTTATACTAAGAAACTGAATGTAACTGGTTTCAGAAATCCCTGTGGTCAAGCTATCTTTCTCAACCCTCTGAGTCTCTGGGCCTATGAGCACTTGACTCTAATTTTTGTAACCAATTAATTTATTCCCATTAAATTTAAAATAAGTTTTCTGTAGAAAATAAGACGATATGAATTTAGCTGTAGCTACTGCTTGAATCAGCACCTTAGTTTGTTTCAGCTGTACTTAGGAGTGATTGCTTAATCTAAGGAGCTAGTTTACCACAATTTGTTCCTTGATATATTTCTCCTTAACTAAATATTGATTTGTAACTTATAATTTTGTTTCTGTCATTTTTAAAGAGATGTTCCTATCTATTAGAAGCAGTCAAGGGCAAAATAATAAGAAAGGGGAAAGGGACAGGATGGAGGAGGAGGGTGAAACAAAATGTAACACATTAAATTTCAAATTAATAACCACCAAAGATTTAAATTATTCTGTTGGCAATGAGCTTACTCCTGGCTTACCTTACGGTGTTATATCCTCCAGGGGAAAGTGGAGCTGGTAAAACAGAGGCCAGTAAGTACATCATGCAGTATATTGCCGCCATCACCAACCCCAGCCAGAGAGCAGAGATAGAAAGGTAAGGACTCAGGGGCACCGGCTGGTGGGGCTGGGCTTCATATAGTGTGCAAACTGGGCTAGGCCTAAATTGGTAGGCATCAAAATTTTTTTTAATGTGTAAATTGCTTTGATTTTCACATTGCATATTGCCTTTCTGCTTTTACTTCTATTACTATATCAACTTCCTGCTTTACCAAGTTAAAAAAAAATTAAAACTACTTTGAAATAGTTGAAAGTGTCCTGTTCCAGCCAGTTTTCAACCTCAGCAGCAGGGCTGCTATAATTTGTACAGCTTGGCTTTATTGTTTAAGCCTCTGCAGGTCCCTTGCTCTGGTTTTAAAAACTTGTGCTCTGTGTGAAATGGGGCCCTGGAAAGAAGACCCATGACTTCCCATCACTATCACAGCCATAACCCACAGATGCTGAGAGCCAAAGTAAGGTTCATATGTAAAAGGGTCTCACACTACACTGTGCTGGGTCCACAGTCTGACTGGTTCTGCGCTGTGTGAGAACAGTGCCTGGCATACGGTGTTTGCTTAATAAATGTGTAAAGAGTGAGTGGGTGGCTTTCTTATGTGGCTTTTCCAAGAGGGAAAGGGGTGCTTTCCTGTTTGACTGCTTTGGAGGTGAGTATTAGTTTACTGAAGAGTCACAACTCATCTATACATCACAGGCAACTCAACAGCCTAGAATCCAGGCTGCTGGGTGATGTGAGGGAAGAGGATTTAGATTTGATGCTACTGTGAGGACTTCACATTTTCATCGTAACTGGATTACCCAGTCAAAAGAAACCTTTTAAAATCTGTGACATATTCCCACTTGTGGTTTCTCACTTTGCAGTCTAATTTGAGGGTGAGCATTTGATCAAATTTTTGTAATTTCTTTTAAACCTCAGGAGAGTAGCTAGCTGAGAGCTAAATTACTTTCATTTCTGTGTAGCTGATAAGGCTTATGTAAATTTACTGTCTTTCTGGGACATATCGGGCCATCATCTTATGGTTTCCTTTGTAAAGCCAGCAGCTCCTACACACATGCCTTTGTACAGCATAGTCATTCATGGGAAGCATGGGAAGCGGGATTAGTGGAAGGGAAGATGGTCCACTAATCAGGTCGTGTCAGAGGCCAGGTTATTTCTACAGGTGTGACTATGTAAGAGGAATCTTGTCAGTGAAATAGAAACAAAGAGATAGTGACTAAAATGGAGTTAAGATTTATCCAGCTTTTTTTTTTTCAAGTGTCTTCATCTCTGAAATTTTTATAATAACCTTGATATATTTTTGTTAAAGAGTGAAGAATATGTTGCTGAAGTCAAACTGTGTTTTGGAAGCTTTTGGAAATGCCAAAACCAATCGTAATGACAATTCAAGCAGGTTTGGAAAATACATGGATATCAACTTTGACTTCAAGGGAGATCCCATTGGGGGACATATCAATAACTACTTGCTGGAAAAGGTAAATGTGCTAGATTTCTAGGGTGATGCTTGTGAGAGCTGTTTAAAAATAATATCTGTGAAAGGTCATTTATTGTTTTAAAGTAGTGTTTTAATCCTATTATCCCTCTTCAAGTTTGCCTTCCATGGTAAGATACTGTCTTCCTGTGTTCTCTTAGGAGCATTTAGTCCAGTGGTTCTCAGCCTTCCTAATTCTGTGACCCTTTAATACAGTTAGTTCCTCATGTTATGGTGACCCTCAACCATAAAATTATTTCATTTCTACTTGATAAACTGTAATTTTGCTACTGTTATGATTATAATGTCAATATCTGATTCACAGGATATCTGATATGCAACCCCTGTGAAAGGGTCATTAAACCCCCAACGGGGTCACAATTCACAGGTTGAGAACCACCAACTTATTATATCAAGTTAGAAAATGTTAGACTTTGTCAATTCAATATCGATTTGGGGTGTGTATGGGACAGGAAGAATGTGTGACAACTTCTGGGTAAGATTTAACTCAAACCAATCAAATCACTCATTCCCTCCTGCCCTCCTCTCCCCTGTGTAGCTAAGGCTGGCATGTAACTCACCATCCTCATGCCTCAGCTTTCTAAGAGTTGGGGCTATAGGAGTATACCATTGTGCCCAGCTTCCAGGCCTGGACTTATTTATGTCACCATCCTGTTTACTGCTAGCTAAGCCCTCTTGTTTGTTTGCTTACTGCTGTATAATGTATATAACTGACTGCAGCAGGACACAGATGTTCATTCTCTCAATCCAGTTAAGCCAGGCCACACAGTCGCCTCCACCTTGCTTGTGCCCTGATGCTTCTCAGTCAAAGTTTCCCCTTCCCAGTGACCCCACAGTATCTTACAGTGCTGTAATTTCTATTATCTGTTATATAGACGCTGGCTATCAGGGAAGCAAATGCTTTATCAGAGTAAGTTGGAAAGAAACAGGAAATACCAAGTACTACCCATCTCCCCGCCATAATGTTTCATGATTCCACTGTGTGCTCATGTTCAATCAAAAAGAACACACGTGTTGAGCAGTCTTTTTGTAGAATCTAAGAAGAGTCCCTAGGGCCTGACCATGTTGATGGATTTTATTAAAAGATTTGGGACATTGCCCTTTGAAATGCCAGCAGACTCTGAACAAGGGAATGTTGAGAATGTTCCTCCCTAACATTCCTTTCCAATCCCCCCTCAGATTCCTACCACTTGTACATACTATCCTTAGACTTCAGGTTGAAAAACCATGACTTCTTTCCTCATGAATGACAAGGCACCCTGATTTTAAGCAAGATAAAGAATTATCAAAATAGTGCCAGGAAGACCATAGAGAATTGCCATCTCTGATAAGCTTTGGTCACAGATTTTTTTTAATGTACTGTGAATTCAAGATTCTCTAAGACAGTTACTTCTGTTTCATTTATACCTACACTTTCAGATTAACCATGTTTTTTTTTTTTTTTTTTTTTTTTTTTGTAGTCTCGTGTGATTGTGCAACAGCCAGGAGAACGAAGCTTCCATTCTTTCTATCAGGTTAGTAATTAATCAGTTCCTTATGCATAGGATTGATCATGTGCCTGATTGTGCTGAGAACTCTTTCTCCTGTACTCTCATCTGTCCTACACCTCTTCCCTCTGGCTTTCCTTGTTTCCACAAGTTACATGTATGTACAGGCATGCCCACATCCTACCCGACCTGTGAGTGTGAGCACTGTGAGAGCTGGTAGCTGGCTAGCCAAGAGAATGCTCCTAGGCTGAGTATCACCTGCCTTTCCTTACAGTGGAGGTCACAATGTAATGGCCATGAAAGCTTTTGCTATGACACCTTCTAGATGTGTTGATTTCATTTTCTTTTGAACTGAGTTACTATTTCTGTACTTGAGAGTTCCAGAGATGGAAATGTAAATTTGATTTGTGTTGCTCTTGATAGGTGTAAGGCATTATGATTACTTTAAAAACAAAAGCAGGATTTATAAATCCAAGGGAGAATTCTCCTCTATGCTGTCAACACTCAGAAAAAATAAATGGCCTTTTGGGAATGTTACTAGAGTTTGAAACAAACCCTTAAAGAACCCTCCTTTGGCACATCTGCTCTCATAGACGTTGACGTTCATATGATCTTCGAAGCTCCAAGTGATATAAACTAAGACTTCTACAAAAGCTGCTGATCTAATTAAGTAACATTTGGAGTTTTAAAAGAATTAAAACTATGGGATTGGGGCGCTATCTCAGTTGATAAAATGCTTGCTGTGAATTCAGTCCCCAGAACCTAGGTTTTATTTTTATTATTATTATTTTTTTTTTTTACATGTCGGTCCCAGTTCCCTCTCCCTCCCTCCCTCTTACTCTCTCTCCCCCTCACATGCACCCTAACCACCCTCCCCTTCCACCACCACCACCCCCGCCCCAATTCCACATGTAGGGCAATGCCATCCAGGTGGGGTCATGTAAATCTGTCAAGTCATTTGAAGTAGGGACTAGGACTTCTCTCGTGTCTCTAGGTTAAGGGAATATCCCTCCATGGGGGATGTGTCCTCAAGGTCCTTTTGTGCACCAAGAATACATCCTGGTTCCACTGTCTAAGGTTTTGTTGTGTTTTGTTTTGTTTTGAAGTCAGGATTGGTGGTGTCCATGTACAATCCTGCTGGGTAGGCAGAGACAATCCATTGGCTCCAGGCCAATTTAAAACACAGAGTGAATGGAACCCAAGGAATGACACACACCCAAAGCTGATCTCTATGCACACACCAACAGGAACACACATGCAAATGCACATTTGAGCTAAAAAGATTGATTTCTGTGCAACTGTCTCTGAAAGTGATCAACAGTGGTGACAGTACAGTCGAATACAACATTGTTTGATTAGGAAATTGCTTTAGTCAAGTTCTGATATATTTGGTTAAAAAAAATTATCATCCTTTTAAGATATGATAACTGTACATTTGAAGCCAGAGCCTACTTTTCAGTGCATAACCCCTCCTGAGGGCACGCTTATAGCACAAAAGTGTGACGAATTTGTCTTGTGTTTCTGTTGACAGTTTGCTGGATTTTAGATAAAGATTTCTCTATACAATATAGGAATTGTTTATTTCAAGAACTTGCAGCTTTCGCCAGTGTCTTTCTTAGTTGGATGAAGTTACTGAGACATATCTTCACTCTGTATGAGAGTCACAGACATCAGTCACACTCCTTTCTGACTATGACAGTTGAGGAAAAGCTGTTCAGTGTATGGGACTCCGTGTGACTGTCAGTTGAGGCCTCTTGCCCAGCAATGCTGACTTTTCTAAATTCAGGAGAGCGACACTACTAAACAGCAAGCACCCCGGGTGGAAACCCTATCTTACAGATGACATCTGAGCAAGAACCATTTAGACCAACTTTGTTGTGAATGGGCTGAGGCATTTTAAGTGATAGTCCTGGTGACATTCTGCCTGTTTTAATAATATATATATGCCATTTACCTATAAGTAAAAACAACAGCAGCAAAATGAAGTCCAAAATTTTCCTCAAAGCATGTAATGGAGGATATAAATGTGTAAGGCCCAGAGAATGAGTAGGAAATAGATCACCACTAAGTTAGAATGTTTGCCATTTGATAGGTCAGTATTTGCTTTAACAGTTCAGCTAGTCGGGAGAAACCCTAGATGAACAGAACCAAAAGAAAGAATATTTGCTAAAGCAGTATTTGTTAGATTGGCTTACACGATGCTATCTGGGTAGCCCAGCAATGGTGTCTTCATGCTAGAGACTGGAGAGGCTGAAAATCCAGTAGCTGCTCAGCCCCTGAGGCTGGGTACCTCAACAGTGCAGTCTAGTGCTGAAGGCCTTAAAATTCCTGGAACTGCTAGTCTTCCTTGGAAGTTTGAAGAAATTGAGTTCTCATGTAAGTAAGGGAATGTAGTTGCAGTGGTTATGCCTGCAGCAGCAACAAAGTGGATGAGTTGACCTGCAAGATTCAAAGACAAAAAGCAAAGCTGCCACCCAGAGCGGCCCACATTTATGGTGGTCTTCCCAATTCACATACCCTGACCAAGATCCTGCACAGCAGTACCCAGAAGCTTACCTTTCAGTTGTTTCTAAATGCAGTCAAGTTGACAGCTCTGATTAACCATCGCAGCAATTTAATTTAAATTGAATGTTTTACAGCTGCTCCAGGGAGGTTCTGAGCAGATGCTGCGCTCTCTACACCTCCAGAAATCCCTTTCATCCTACAACTACATACGAGTAGGGGCACAGCTGAAGGTAAGTTTCTTCTTTGAGATTGCAGAGAGGAGGCAGAAGGAACACAAGCTGTTCACCCAGCCCCTCTGCTGCCCTTAGGCAGACGAAGGTCCACGTTCTGCTTTTAAAAATCTCCATCCAAACTTTATTCTACCACTGAGCTGAACCTCTTAACTAAATAACTTTACACAGCTGTATTGTTCATCTAACAGAAAAGTTCCTTTTCTTTAATATTTGATCTGACTTCATGTAACTGAAATAGTAAAAACACTGACAACTAGGAAGCCTTCCTCATAAGAGTTGTTCTTTTTTCTTTTTCTTTTCTTTTAATTTTTTTGTTGTTGTTTTGTTTGTTTTTTGTTTTTCAAGACAGGGTTTCTCTGTGGAGCCATGGCTGTCCTGGAACTTGCTCTGTAGACCAGGATGGCCTCAAACTCAGAGATCCTGTCTTTGCCTCTCTAGTGTTGGGATTAAATGAGTATGCCACCACCATCCATCTTGGTTGTAATTATCCTAGAAATGTTTTTGTGGCCCTTAGATTTTCTTTGTATTCATCTTTTAAAAGGGCCATATGTTCCCTTCCCTTACATGCAAACCCTTGCTTGCACACCTGCAGGCTCATTTTTGCCCCTCTTTAAATTTATTTTCTTCTAGTCATCTCATAGCCAGTTTAACAATGTGGTGGTTGATGAGAGTGTATAAAGAAGTGGTATTGTCCTAGTTTGCTGGAAGTAAGGTATAGAAATACAGAAGCTATGGAAGGCTTGGGTCACAGTTTTAATTGTTGCTTCCAAAAGAGTAAGAGTATGGATATTTGGATTCTGCTTTGCTGTATTTTTAACTTTTCTGCAATAAAATGTACACTACTAGCAGGGTACAGACGCACATGCATGTAACCTCAGTATCCAAAAGGCTGAGACAGGAAGATGCTGAATCCACCTGGGCCGCACAGCCAGACCCAGCAGACCCAGCTCAAACAAGAGAAAGCACTCATGATTTTTGTTGAGTGAAACATAAAAAGGTCTCTTTTCAGAATAGGAAGTTTTTTTTAAATTATTATTCTATTTAAGTTAGTTATACTCACATTACTGGCTTAGCAATATTTTTATTGCTGATCCTAGGAATAAATGATACTTAGGCTTTGTAGTTAGTTTTCTATTATCTGGCATTTAGGTTATGCCACCTTTTTACATTTTTCTAAGAGTGTAAATGTTTGGTGAAAATGAATTGAAAATAAAACAGTAGAAGGCAATGGTCCAACTTTGTCAGCATTTTGCCACTTTACACACATTCATCTCCCTAAAGCCCCTCGCTTGACATATTCCCTCATGTGCTTTTCCTCATGCCTCCTTGATCACAGTAGCATTGCATGCCTGTGGCTGACCACTCATTTGGTAAGGGGAAGAAAATGTATTTCTTAGGGTTTCTGTTGCCATAATAAACACCATGACTAAAAGTGACTTGAGCTAAAGGCTTTATTTTATCTTCCAGCTCGTAGTCCATCATCCAGGAAAGTCAGAGTAGAAAGTCAAGGCAGTGCACATGGCCATGGAGGACAGACTTGCTCTCCATGGCTTGCTCAGCATGTTCTCTTAGATACCTCAGAATCATCTGCCCAGAATTGGCGCCACCACAATGGTGCCTCCAGATCAATCACTTATTAAGAAAATTCACCACAAGCTCACCTGCAGGCCATTGTTTCTCAACTGCAGTTCCCTTTTCTCAGATAACTCTAGTTTATGTCAAGTTGACTATAAACCATCCAGGATAATGGCTGTGATCAGTTTAGAACCATGAAGTCTCCAGAGGCTAAGAGCAAGCCAATCAGAGATGAGCTTGAAGGTGAACTAAACAAATCTCTTTCTATTAGCAATAATGAAGTAGTAGAGGGATGGTTGTCAGGGACAGAACTACAATCTCAGCATTCAGTTTATAATATTAATAATCTGATATGTTAGTATTTTTTGGTATGGTAGGGACCAAGCAACAACTTGTAAGAAATGTATTACTCTGTCTGTGTGATTTATGAAAAAAAAATTGAGGCTCAAAAATGTTGAGCGTCCATCCCATAGTGAGAAAACACTGACAGGGATAGGAGCTTGCCTGGTTGTGCCCAGGACAAAAGAACTTGTGCTCCTCAGGCAGAAAAGGTTCACTTTGTATGTCCTTTCTTAGTAAGAGAACATCAGGCCCGGTACCATCCAAGCAAGAGGAGCAACTTGTTGAGAAAAGGGTTGGTCCAGAGATACTTCTGGGAAAATTCCTAAGCCGTTGCTGCTCTTTACTGTGGAATCTGTTGGCACACTGGTATATCCATGTCTCCCAGGGTGCAGTCATCGTTGAGCTCCTCTGCTCCAGTTAGAAGCTATAACTTACCAGACACTTACTACATGAGACAAAATAGCATAGTCCTAGACTATTTAACACTTGCTAAGTGGCTGCGGCAGGTGGCTTTGCTCTGGGTGCTGCTTTTCCTCTGGCGAATAAGAAGCCTGATTACACAGTGTGAGAGCTGTGGGAGAACTACAAATGCAGTAACCAACCATGGACTTCAGTTTCCACATTCAACACTTCCATGTGTGACCTCACATCCCGTTCTGTTGCCTCCATGGAACATAGAGCTGTGATCTTCTGTGAGCCAACTTAGGACAGAAGCTTCCAGAATGGTACATGGTACTTATTTTAAGTGATAGCTCTCACACAAAAATAGTTCTCATACATCTAAACAATGTTTCTACCACAAAGTAATTTTTCAATATTTATCTCCCTCAAAGTGACTTACTACAAAGGCATCAAGACTTTGGCTAAACACTTCTGTATTGCGGTTAAATAAGGATCAGGATAAACAAATAGGCCAAATAGATGTTTATTCAGGGAGAAATAACTTGCAGCCTAGACGGATGAACACCAGCAATTTCCACCGGATGCTCTCCTGTCCGAGTCCCGCCAGCAAGAGAGCTTTTGCCAGCAAGAGAGCTTTTCCCGGCTCTTCCTCTGACTTCCTTCCACAGGTCACTTCCGTCCATGGCTCCACCCCCCAACGGGCGTGGTCAGTGCCACAGAAGGACTATCTCACTATACTTCTGTCTTGTAATTAATGCTCATGTGAAATGTTTGTGACTTAAGATTTTTATGTTTATGTCTAGTCTTCCATCAATGATGCTGCAGAATTCAAAGTTGTAGCTGATGCCATGAAAGTAATCGGGTTCAAACCGGAGGAGATTCAAACAGTGTATAAAATTTTGGCTGCTATTCTTCACTTGGTGAGTAAGGACTCCCAAAGTACATTGTATCCTTGTGGAAACAGGGTACTCTTCCAAAGGATTTTTTTCCTTGTCAAAAATAATTTATTTTGTGAAAATTTTTGCTTTGCATTCTGAAAACTGTACTCTGATTTTCTTCATCATTTTATATTTTGAGGAGTTTTTCCAAAACTGTGCCCAGTTCATTGTATTGTGATATCCTCACACCTTGAACTCGGCACTGAGCCTACTGGTGATGGCTTCTGAAACAGATGGTTGCAAGTGGCCTCCAAGGCACAACCAACCCATCTGAGGTCAGCACATAGACCAGAATGGCAAAAAGTATTTGTAAATATAGACTCTCTATCAAAAATGTACACTAAGATGGAAGGACAGCCATGTGTGTGGAAAAGAGGAAAAGAGAAGTGCTAGGCTTTCACATATGATGTACATGTTTAGGAAGACAGACACAAGCAAGGGCACTCTAATTCGTGATATGTCAGAAGCTCACTGGAAATGGTGTCTTTTGTTTTCATTTTTGATATAGGGGAATTTAAAATTTGTAGTAGATGGTGACACGCCACTCATTGAGAATAGCAAGGTTGTATCTGTCATAGCAGACTTGCTCTCTACTAAGACAGACATGGTGGAGAAAACCCTTCTTTACCGGACGGTGGCCACAGGTCGTGACATCATCGACAAACAGCACACGGAACAGGAAGCTAGCTACGGCAGAGATGCCTTCGCCAAGGTGAGACTGAACTTGATCCATGGGTTGTAGCCGAAGTGAAATCCTGTGAGGATGTGTTTAGACATCCCTGGAAGTACAGTAGGCTAAGGGCTTTTAAAACTCAGACTTTCTGGCCATCACTGTCTCAATAAAGCTCCTGGCTGTAAGTATGACTGCTGGAAAAGCAAACTAGACCAACTGTGGGAAAGAGGGAGTCAAAGCTTCTACCTCAGCAGGGTCTGGAGCCACATTACCTCCCCTGCCTCATGTCCTGCTGTCTTCAGGCACTTTTACTTATTCCAACATATTCATCTTTTCTTAAGCCTCATGAGTTCTTCATCCCTTTCTGCTTGTGTTGTTCCTCTCTTCCTATCTTGCTCTGTTTGGGCATCCTGCTGGCTCAGCCCAAGTGTCTCCCGGGAAGCTATCCCTGGATTGACTGAGCACAGAATAAATTATAGTCACTTCGGGGGTCAGGGGCCTGGAGAGATAGCTCAGCAATTAAACACACATATTATTCACACATAGGACCCAAGTTCAATTCCAACCACCCATCTGGGCAGCTTAACAAACTACCTGTAAATTCAGCACCAGGAAAATCAACACCTCTAAGAGCACCCACCCACCTTCACCCACACATAGACACACATAATCATTTTTAAAAGTCACCTCACTGTGCATGTGTTCTTTGCCCTAACCCTCCACTCCTCCGAGACTATGAATTTCTGTGTACTTATTGCTGTGTTTCCAATAAACTATATATCTAAATGCTCAGTAAATATTTAGTGAATGAATGAATAAGTTCCTGAGTACCCATGGCCATTTACTCAAAGCTCAAAGTTGGTAAAAACAGTTTTCAGAGGTGAGAAGAGCAGATGCATCACTGATATAGTAAGGCATGAACACATGCCTGGAGAATAGTCTTAAAATATGAACAGTAGCCAATAACCCATATTGCTTGCTTCAGTTTGGCATACCTCATGTAGCTGTTTCTGTAATAGTGCTATACATTACTAATTGTTCCACCTAGGTAATAACATGTGTGCTAAATGATAAGAAAAAAGGGACTGAAGACATCTCAAGTCCAAACAGAGTGACTCATTCCCAAACAGACAAGAATTTATGTTCTTTCTCTCACAGGCAATATACGAGCGCCTTTTTTGTTGGATTGTTACTCGCATCAACGACATTATTGAGGTCAAGAACTATGACACCACAGTCCATGGGAAAAACACTGTTATTGGTGTCTTGGATATCTATGGCTTCGAAATCTTTGATAACAACAGGTAAACTGGGTAAGATACTTAAAACTCTGTTGTTTATTTTGTTTGGTATTTAAGCCTAACATATTCCGTCTTGTGTAGCTTTGAACAATTCTGCATTAACTACTGCAATGAGAAACTGCAGCAGCTGTTTATTCAGCTGGTTCTGAAGCAGGAACAAGAGGAGTACCAGCGGGAAGGCATTCCTTGGAAACACGTGAGTGCCCTCATGGGGGGGATAGCCCTGTGTTGCCCACCTTGCATTCCTCTTGCCCTTCTTGGGTTCTTGAGTCACATGAACCCTAGCCTTCCTCCTTGAAATATACTAGTGCAGTCACGCTAGTCCAGTTGGTATAATTCCTCTAATCTGATAGCCTGCCTTGTTGATGCCCAGGGCATGCTCAGTACAGCCTTAAGCCTCACATCATCTGTGTAGATGATGACACATGGCTTCCTGGCAGGTTTGTTTGCTTGGTCTTTTCTATTGCAGTTTAGCATCACTGGAAGTTCACTCTTTTGACTTAAATGAACTTACTTCCAGACCCAATTGTTCTTGTTCCTTCCTTCATTTTCTCCTCTGCTCTGTGAACTAAGTGGCAGTGAACTGCTCTCAGCCGTTGAACGTCCCATTCTCTGAAGCCTATGCATTGGAATGCTGGGACGCTTATATTCCTGTCCAGTTCCACATTCTTTCATTTGTGGTCACCTCTCTTCTCATGGCTCTTTGTGAATGTTTGTAATTGCCAATGAGATATAGATAGACAGTAACACTGGCCTGGACAGGGTTCACGGCTGAAAGGCTGGCTCCCTGAGCTTTCTTGTTCTCTGACAGTAGACCACCTGCTCCTGACAGAAATGAGGTTTAGTCAATCTGCTTGGACATTTGTATTTTTAAAACAATTTTGGGAGAAGGCTTTTAAAAACTGGTTTTCTATAACTTTCTAGTATTTTCTTGTAGTTTGTCTTTTAATTTTTGTGAGATTTTGTAATTAGTTTTGTTTTGTTTTGTTTTCCTGAGGCGTAGTCTGATGTTTCCTAGGCTAGCCTAGACTCTGTTGTGAAACCGAGGATGACCTTGCGCTACCTCTACCCTATAAGTACTGGAATTATAGGTTTTCACTGCTATGCCTGGTTGCTGAGTTTATAGAACTGTTTGTACTCTCACCACACAATAAAAATCAAGCCAGTATTTATTCTTTGATGTCAAACATAGTTGCAGTAAAAACTATTTGAAATATCATGTTAAAGTTATCTTTTTATTATTATTAATTACTTTTGGTTTTTTAAATTTACATATCGATCCCAGTTCCTTCTCCCTCCTTTTCTCCCTCCCTCCCATGCCTCCTGACCACCCTCCTACCCCACCCCACCCCCCACTCCACAGGGAGGGTGATGTCTTCCTAATTTCTGTTTCTACTTACTCATTTTAAAAAGAGAGAGGTATAATAAATAGCATTTCTGCCTCAATTGCATCTTTGCCTTCCATCATGCATTAAATATTAGAATGCCATAAAATTTCATTTAATATATTAGTTTAAATTTTACATATTTAAAATAAGCCAGAGTTGTCAGTTTTATTATAAAAAAGAACTTCCTGTTGTTTGATTTAAGCAGTGATCTCTCTTAGATATTTAAAATTTAACTCAAGCCACATGGTAGTACCACATGCCTTTAATCCCAGCACTACAAAGGCAGAGGCAGACAGATCTCTTGAGTTCTTCGAGGTCAGTCTGGTCTACAGAGCTAATTCCAGAACAGCCAGGGATACACAGAGAAATAAATAAATAAATATAAATAAAATATTACTTAGTTAAGTTTGTGTGAAGTTTCCTAAGAATAAACCTATTGTTTAATATACAATATAACTGAAGCTGAGAGCTTTTATTTCATAGCATGAATCTTATCATAAAACCTGTTATTCAGATGTGATTTGGAGGTATGATCCAAAGCATCCTTTGAAGTTTGTTGTGGTAGCACATGTATAATTTCAGCATTCCAGAGACTGAGACAGGAAGATCCCAAGTTTGAGGCCAGTCAAGGCTACATAGTAAGACCCTTTCTTTAAAAAAAAAAAAAAATGAAAACCAAACAAAAACTCCTTTACCAACCAAAATATCTTTACCAACCAAAATATCAAGCTCCCCAAGCTTAGTTGTAGAGGGAAGAGTGACAGCTACAATAGTGTCTAATCCAGATACCTCGGAAAAGCTCAGTAACCCTAGAGATGATGGAGTTTGGAAGAACTGAAACAGACCAGACCATGAAGTTGAACAGAACCCAACTCCCAGGTGACAAAAACAGCATGCTGGTGTGCACCAATGTTAAATCCTGTTTACTCTGGAAGCCCAGACTTCTAAGCATTGTGACTCTTTATCGTTATAAAACATTTCAAACATGTGTGAGAGGAAAATAAACTACGTGTGCCATTAACCCAGCCTTAGCATTTGTGCTGAATTGCCCTCCTCATGCCACTGTGCCTTCCTCACATGTTCCAGCTTACACTCAAGTTACTCAGACATAACATTACTCCATCTGTGATTTTCAGTATATCTCTAAGAAATGAATATACTGCTACAAAAACGGTAACCATAGTTCTGTGATCCCAAAAATTAGTAACAATTCCTTTACTATCATTTCCTATTTAAGTTGTTTTATTGTTGTTGATGATGACAGTTTGCTTGATTGGATCTAGATAAGGATTTTGCATTTTGATCGACTGACTGACTGACTGACTGACTGACTGGTTTCTCACGTGGGTCTGGGCTTATTCCTTCTCTCCCCACTTTTTCCTCCTTCATAATCTTTTGTTGGAAAGAGTGAGATTTTTCACTGTAATGAGCATTTTTTCTGAAAGGTCTCCCAGCCCAGATTATGTTAATCCAATTCCTGAAGTGTCATTAACACACTTCTGTGTGCCTATGTAGTCTCTGTATTGGAGATTAGATCTAGTGTGCTGACCAGGTTCAGGATTAGTTTTTCTCCACAGCCTGTTTCATGGCTTATATGTGAATGCCTATCAGAAGTCCATAAAATCTGATTGCCCTCATAAAGTTAAAATACAATTCAGATGTATTTATATAGGCATAATATAGCTGAAGTTAAGATTTTATGGCAAATTTAATTATAAAGTTTGTTATTCATATTCCATAGGCATAGGCAAGGTAGCTACTATTAAAAGTGTTTGTATTTGGAGTGACACTGTAACACAGGACCGCCATACCCATAAGCCATCCTGTCACATCTCTCCCATCTCCCTGCATGCCTTATTAAAAAACTCACGGGCCTTTCAGGTTAAAATCAGGAGGAACCTGGTTTTAAAAAACAAAACAAATAAAAAAATGCTTTAATCATTGCTTGAAGCTCCATAAAACTTAAAACCAATTGTTACTAGAATTTTCAGCAAAGATCAGTGGCTTATGGGAATACAGTTGGAATTTTAATACATTAAAACTTACTTTTCATAGTCCTAATGTCTGAAATGTCTGAAAGGTGATAGATTCCTGAATTTGTATTTTAGGATATTTTTCTAAAGTTGAAAGTAATTTTTTCCCCTGACTGAAAACACAGTAACTCCCCACAATAAGCATCACTATTTAAAAGCAGGTCTGTCCACCCCATTGAAGTATGAACTAGGTAATTTTTGCAGTGGGGCTGTCCTACAAATTGGAGGGTTTAGCAGCATCTTGACCTTGACTGCTCAACACCTGTAGCATTACAAAATGTCCGCACAGACAAAATTAACCTCAGTTGAGATTCAGTGATTCAGACGAACCAGAAAGGTGTAAAAGAAAAAGAGGCTGGAGTTTAGGGGTGGGATGACACTCCGTTTTCAGGCTTTCATCCCAAAGGAAATTTAGAAAAGAACACAAAAGACTAGACGTGAAGCTGAAAGCCACAGCAAGTAACTTTCATAGGCCTGTAGGTATGAAATCCTGAAGATGGAGTCCACAAGACACATCCGTGTTCTGCTGGGAGTCTATGAAGCTTTCAAGAGGTAATGGAGATGCCTCTGACATGAGATGGGACACATCAACACACAGTACGGAAATGTTTACTCATGAGTGGCTCACCTTCAGGACACACAGCTTGCCTGAGAGAGGCTTTGAAGGCTGTTTCTATGCAGTCCATTAGAACAAGAAGGTGGTAGTAGATTTCTGTCTACATCTTGTGTACACTGAAGTTACTAAAAGCCCAAAGTTCTTAACTTTGTTTCTTGGAAGCAAATGGAAAGCTTATTTTTTATCTTTTATATATACTTATGTGTCAATTTTTGAAAATGTTTACTCCCAGAAAAGTTTCAAAAGTGTTAGATTCATATGTTTTCTAACTTTGGGGAAACTAGAGGAAATTCTCTTTTGGATTTTTGTCAGTGCGTGTCACATGAGTAGAACTGCAGAGTCTGTGGAGTACTTTGACTTCATTATCAGAAGAATATCAAATGATTTTTTGGGTTATCTGCTGGCACTTAGTGGAAACTGTTTCAAGATTAATGGCAAACAGATTAGGGACTTGCAGAATGAAGGAGTGTGATTGGGTGTAGGAGTGGGAGACAGGAAGGACTAAGGACAAGAATTAATCACATTTGCCTTAGTCCATAGTCATCCCTTGTGCTTCCTATATGACATAAGGAGAATGCAGACAGTAAGTCAGAAATCTCTATTAAAATGTGTGCTCATCTTAATTTGACCTCACTAATGCTGTCTGCCGTTTTGACACTGAGGTGCTATACAAGTTAGTGAAACGAAAGGAGACACCTGTGTGTCTTGCCCATCAAGGTTCCCGATTCTCTTGGACATTGCTTTCTTGCTTGTCCTACAGATTGATTACTTCAACAACCAGATCATTGTGGACCTCGTGGAGCAGCAGCACAAAGGCATCATTGCAATCCTGGATGACGCTTGTATGAATGTTGGCAAAGTCACTGATGGAATGTTCCTTGAGGCTCTTAACAGCAAATTGGGAAAACATGGCCATTTTTCCAGCCGAAAGGTAATAATGTGCTATAAGATTTTTGTTTGTTGTTTTACAGGGCAACATTGCTTTACATTAGCTTAAAAGAACGTATGCTGAAGTAAGGGGGAAAGGCATGAATGTCTGGTAAATGATGCATCACTATGGGTGAATTCTGCTTCTCTGACAAAAATCATAGTATCCACGAGAGGGAGCTACAGACTGTGGAATTTGCTAGATGCAGGAAAAATGAACACGGTTCTTTAGAAAGCATGATGTCATTTACAACCAATAGGTGCTGAGTGCTTGTTCATGTGTTAGAATTTTATGCCTGCATCTGATAATTCTGGCATAAGAAATTGCTTTTGTCCTTGACTTTTCACCGTAATCCTCATTTACAAAATACAGAGTGTGCTCTGCTTTCGTTAGACCCTGTGACTTGCCTAAAAGTGAGAAATCCTTTCTGCAGTCCCTGTTATTATGGAGAAACACATTCTTTCAGTGTATCGGGTATCCTTCCAACTCTCCATTTTTTACAATCTAAAAATGTCACAAATAAACCACACTTGTATAATTAGTGGAAGTTGTGGTTATCAGATTTTTGTTCTAGACCTTATATGCATTATGTTTGTTTGTCACTAGTGTTTGTAGGTGTCATCACCCCAGTCTTCCCCACAAATGCAAGCTTGTCTAGTGACCAGACACTGCCAGAAAAGCAGGCCCTGTTCCTTCACATCCAGAAAAAAAAAAAAAAGGGCAGGCACTTCTGTTCCTCTGTACATCTGTGGCACACTGCCACTGTCTCATGAATAAATCTACTTCCTAACTACATCCCCTTTGGAGTTATGTAATCCGAACAGAGAAATTCCACAATTAACTAGGAAAGTTAATAATATAAGAAAATAATAATAATAATCTTTTTCATTTTATTTTATGCATATGAGTATTTTGCCTGCATGTGTGTGCATCATGTGCATACAATGCCCTCACAGGCCAAGAGAAGGTATCGGATACTGTTGGGCTGGAGTTACAGCTGCTTGTAAACTACCATATGAGTTCTGGGACTTGAAACAAGGTCCTCTGGAAGAGTAGCCAGTGCTCTTAACCACTGAGCCATTTCTCCAGCCCCTCAAGAAATCTCAAGTGTAATCTCTATTACTATCCAACTTTTAAAATACTAATTTACATTTATCGATTCATGTATTCATATTGTACATGCATGTACATGGAAGCCAGAAGACAATTTGCAGGAGTTGGTTCTCTCTACCATGTAACTTCTAAGAATCTAACTCAGATTTGGTGTCAAGAACTTTTATCCACTGAGCCATACCACAGCCTTACTAGGTTTTGTTTGTTTGTTTTGGGTTTTTTTGTTTTGTTTTGCTTTTTTGAGACAAGTTCTCTCACTGAGTCTGAACCTCCCTGACTGAGCTGTACTGGCTGGCCAGCAAGCTTCAGGTACCCTCCTGTCTCTTCCCTACCAGCACCATCATTGTACCCACCTTCTGTATGATTGTTGAAGATCCAAACCAAGTCCTCATGTTTGTGCAGCAAGCACTTCAGCAACTCGGCTCCATCTTTTGAGGAATTTTGCTTAATAAAGGAAAGAAATTATATAGCCAAGCTGTCAGAATATTTAAGTCACTATACACCTTTTTGTCAAATAATGCTATTGAGTTGTAAGATGAGCCAGCCAGGTATCATTTGCTATTGCTAACTGATCAGGTAGAATTACTAACTTATTAAATAAAAGAATGCTGACTTTTATTTGGGGATAAAAATCTTCCTTTTGCATTAGACACCAAGGAGTGATAGTCACGTGATCCAAGCAACAATAAAATACTTTAAAATAAAAAGCTAAGTAATAAGTATATAGTAAAGTATATTTTTTGTGTGTTGAGGAAAATCACAGCTTTGCTGTTTAGCCACATATAAGAGTGACCTGTAATTTGAGCCTTTTTCCTTCAAGAATTTTATGAATTAAAGGATTTTTCAATTAAAGGATTTTTCAAAAGGGCAAGGGGGGCAGGCTAGAGAGAGGGCGGAACAGTTAAGAGTGCACACTGGCCTTGCAGAGGATCAGAGTTCAGTTCTTAGCACCCATGTCAGACAGTGAACAACTGTCTTAACTACAGATCCAGGACATCTGAAGCCCTCTTCTGGCCTCTAATGGCACCCATACACACAGTGAACAACCCTCATACACACACTTAAAGGTAAAGTGCATCTGTGGGAAAGCAGGGGAAGATGTATTTTAAAGAGTCCTCTAAACTAGAGGCTTTGATCTCATAATTCATTTAACTCTCCACTTTCTCAGATGAATAATTATTAAAAGGAACCAAACAAACCTCTGATTTCATGTAATTCTTCATTTGTGAAACTCCTAGACATTTTCCTTTAGTATCTGAAGCCTACTGTCCTGGATAGGGTTGTGTGCTATATGACATTAGCATCTAAGTGGTACTAATATTATAATACTAAGTGGTATTGTGTGGATTTTTACTCGTTAGCATCTAAGTGGTACTAATATTATAATACTAAGTGGTATTGTGTGGATTTTTACTCATCTGCCCAGTGCCCAGACACTGTAGCAAAGAAGTTGAAGGAAGTCATGAGGAAATCCAGGGCCATATAAAACCTGCCATTTCTTGAGGTATCCTCTTCAATGACCAAGAGAGATGCAAGGCTGTTCTTCTGTGAAGAGCAGCTAAACTGGAGTTGGCTCAGCAGGCAGATGAGCCAAGCCACTATGTACATGAAGCCATGTTCCTTTCTGTTCCCTGGAGCCTTTCCAGGGTTACCACTTACTAGTACTTTGAGATAGTGGCAGCTGCCTACCTCACTGAGTCTCAGTCTCCATGTATATGAGAGAGAACTGTGAAATGTATGTGCCTTACAGACAGTAAGCCCTCAGTCAGCCCTCGCAGGTGGAGCATGGAAGAGAAGAATTAAGTGTCAGAAGACATTGCATATCTGTTTCTCAGAGAGCCATACTCCTTCCATTGCCTGTCTGCCCCACCTGGTAGGGACCATCTTTACATCCAGCTAAATAAAGGGCATTATTTATCAACCTCTGGCTACACTGGGCATGGAATAGCCACATTTCACATCCATTGGTTGTCCAGACCTGACCACTTGGCCATGTCTAGTGTGCTATGTGCTGTATGGGTTTCTGTCAAAAGCCTTTACCTTGTCAGCCATGTATTTAAACAGACCCAGGGAATGTGATTTCACGTAGCTATCATAATTTGTGTTGTTTGGTCATATCAAGTTGGAATGTATTTTTAGGAATTGAAAATGTCATTTTTTTTTTTTCAAGTTTATGTTCTTCTTTAACTCTTAGACCTGTGCCTCAGACAAAACCCTGGAGTTTGACCGGGACTTTCGAATCCGGCATTATGCAGGTGATGTGGTGTAAGTATCTCACTCTGGTGCCTAGCATGATGATTTGCATGCAGCCTTGCTTGGAAAATGGGACTGGGACACGGTTGGTTGTTTTTCTTTTCACATGTATGGGACTTTATTGGGGTGGGGTGTGTCATTTTGTAGATCAGCATAATTTAGTCTCGATTTGAAAAGAGTGTCATACTTTCATTTCTTCCTTGTTTATCAGACATTTGATATGGGTGTGTCTAACCATGTATACTTCCCTGTGTGGTTGGAACTCAGTAAAAAGAGGGAGGGACTACTGTATTAATAAACCTTGAAGACACCTTGGAGTCTAGGGTAGACACATGGATAAGATGGTCTGTGCTCATAAGAAGCCAGCAGGTTAGTGAATGCAAGTAGATACACCTAAGTCACAGGAAGGGAGGAAAGGACTAAGCTGGACTGGCACATGGTATTATGGAAGCAATGAGGAGTCTGGAGAAGTCTTGCTGGAGGAAACAGTGTGCAAGCAAGTTCAGCACCATAAGTGAAAGCCTGGAGACAAGGCGGGGGGGGGGGGGTGTTGATACAGGACACCCAGTATGTGCAGGACTACAAATAGCTACACAAGCAAAAGAAGTTATACTATGTTGTTGTCAGATAGTGTTTGAGAAATAGAATTCTTTCAAGCTTCGTTTCTTACTGTCTTAGATGAGAATATCAATCAGTGTGAAAACTACCTTAGTATGTTAGGGTCAGTGTTCCTGTAACAAACTATCAAACCAGTAACTTAGAACAACAGCTGTGTGGGCTAGGATGTAGCCTAGTAATAAAATGCTCACCTGGCAGAGGTGAGACTCCCAGCACCACAAAATCAAATACAGAAGCAGAAGTTCGTGCTTTCAGTAGTCTCATAATTCAGGGAACAGGAAGTTCAAAATCAGGCAATGGCAGGGCCTCACCTTTCCTGGAGGCTTCCCTCAAGGAGAATCTGCCTTTTTTGACTTTTGATTCTATGGGCATTCCTTGGCTTGTGGCTCTACCTTTGTGGCTGCCTCCTTGGTACATTGCTCCATTCTGAGGGTTAACCCCCAGCCTCTATGTTAACAGAATTTGGTGGCATTTCTACTCCCCACCCCAGTCTTCTATTGGATTATTCCTTCTTTCAGGACCCTTAGCACAATCACATCTCTTTACCACAGAAGACAGCACTCCCAGGTTCCAGGAAGGCTGATATGGTTGTGACTTGTTATAGGTCATTTTTCAGCTGCTGTATTTGTTATGCATCCATTTGCTCTTCATTAAGTCCTGTTCCTTACCTTATTGTTTAAAGAACTCTACCTTTTCCTTTATTTGTTATCTTAGGAATTCTTCCCACATAACCCATTACAAGTAGAGATTAATCAAGACAAAAGCAAGTGATTATATTTATAAATTCTGAAAAAACATTTGAATAAACTTTAATGTCTACTTCTGACTGAATTAAAATTCTAGAATCATAAAATAATATGGCTTAAAAATAACTACCCTCTGTCAAACCAGCCACCATTGAAAGATGTCACCATTTCTCACCATTCTAGAGAACTGAGTAGAAAAGACAAATACCACTTAGATGTCTCCCATTAAAATAAGCCCAAGCCTCACTTACAGGCTGTTGTCTGACAGTCAGGGTAGTGTGGATGCAGAGCTGGACAGAGGCCTGTGCCCCCAAGTCCACCTGTTGTACAGAGGAATCAGTTTCTACAGAATGAGCAGACATCTGATCCAAAGCCTCATTCCATGTTTATGGGAAAACTGAGGCAGTAACTAGGTTTCCAGGATCCTGGTCCAGAGTCCCAGCTGGCATTAACTTTAGCCTTTCAGTCCTCTCCTGGGTTTTTATAGATTATCTTCTATAGGTAAAATACTTTATAGAGTATGGTATCTGACCACAAGGAGCTTTCTATACAAGATACACACACACACACACAGAGAGAGAGAGAGAGAGAGAGAGAGAGAGTTAAATGTATATTTAAGCATATATATGTGTGTGTGTGTATATACATGTGCGCATAAGAAAAGATGGTTATAATAATCACCATATTAGTCATAGCAAGTGTTGTGACAAACTCTGAATAAGAAAATACTATAATATTTTTAGGTGTTGCGGTAAGCCCTGGGAAGCTGATGCTGTTGGCTCGGGTGCTAGGAATTATTTTTATAGGAAGAAGTGGGAAGAGTGGTGAAAAAATATTCAGGAAGTAGCAGGGGTGTATCCTTTCTATAGTACAGATTAGAAATGCCTAGAAAAGTAGACTGAGATCAATTCACAGTGAGACTTGAACACTATACTGTGGTCTTTGGAATTTAGTTTGTGTTGGTTTAACAGTAGATTAAGAGTAGGGTGATTTCAAATGTTCAGTTAAATGACAGGATGGTATTGGAAAGAAGACCTGGGTTAGACAGGCAACAAAATAATTTTCGATGTGATGACCTTAAAATCCCTGTGGACATAGCTGGGTGTTGGTGACACATGCCTTTAATCCCAGCACTTGGGAGGCAGAGGCAAGCAAATCTCTGTGAGTTCAAGGCCAGCCTGGTCTACCAGGCTACTTCCAGGACAGGCTCCAAAGCAATACAGAGAATCCCAGTCTCGAAAAACAAAACAAACAAACAAAAAGTCCCTGTGGACAGCACATCTGGAATACTTTTTATTTTGCAAAATTAAATATGTAAAATAAAAGATTAGAGTAACTAGCCTGGGAAGTGTTGATGTGATTGTCAAAAAGAAGATGGAGACAAGCAAGAGAGCAGAGCTGCTAAGGAGGTGCTGCATGTAGTTACTGTTTGCACAGCCACCTAACCTGCACTTAGTCAGAACCCCAGTTACTCTTTTACCCCAACACAGAGTGAATCCCATAGAGGCCTCTCTGGTCACTGCAGCAGTACAGTTCTCCTGCCCTTGCTCTTCTCACCAGCTGCCATCTTAGCTGGAGTTTCAAAGCCTTACTTCCTGCCTTCCTGCAGACTGTGAATAGTGGGCTCATTTCACTGTGATGCTCCTGCATGTGCCTGCTTCCAGCCCTTTATTCTGCCTGTTGTCCCACATGATCTGTCAGTCCTTTTCTCCTGCTTATCCACTTCTTACCATCCTTTGCAGTTCTCCTTGGACTCTTTTATGCCCTGCACACTGAGTGGTACTTAGGCAAGCCACTTGACCTCCCCACGGATGAGACAATTAGTTCCTGTATGTTGCTGTTTTGCTTTTATCTTAGGCATGCTGGATGATAAATACAACTATCTATTTTGAAGTCATCTTCTTGAGGTAAGCATTAGCCAGTAGAAAATGATATACCTACTCAGTATAATGGGACTGGTGTCTACTACTTTCTTTCTGAAGGGGAGAAGTGTGCAAAGTCTGTGGCCTTTACCTCAAAGATAAGTGGACTGGCTTTTAGAAGTGTCATTGCAAAACTGATAGCAAAAAGGCCTGTGAACTAGAGAAGCTCGAGTGTGGTCTATGTGGTAATGTTACATGCATTCTGTTTTCTCCCTAGCTATTCTGCCATTGGATTTATTGACAAAAATAAAGATACTTTATTTCAAGATTTCAAACGTCTCATGTATAACAGGTATGATTGGTTATTACCTTTACCTTAAGTTCTTTGACATACATTGTATAGTATATGTGTGTTTACATAATTACTTTTATGTGACAATTTTAAGAGATTTTAGCAGCTTTTCTGGGTTGTTATGTTTAATGAATGAACATGTATATGATTATAAAATCTGGGATTTTATAAAATCTGTAGACTTGGGACAGGGGCCACTACCAGTAAGATTTGCCTTAATTCTCCTTGGATTTTCTCTCTTCACTGCCACCAGCCTTTAAACACCCTATACCAGTGTGCTCAGTGATTCCCCACACCAGGCCAGAGGTGACAATATCAAGTAACCTCTGGTCCATCTAAAACGGTTACATAAATAGATTCCCACTGCAGCCTTTTGCCCCCAGGTATGAGCCACTCTGTTGTCAGACTAGCACGTGGCATCAATGAGCTCTGGTCCTCACTGAGCTGGGTAATTTCCTCACAAACTACCCAAAGACAAAAATCTATACAGAACAAAAACAGGCAAAGGATGGAACTTTAAACCCAGTGTGGAGGGAAGTTTCAGGAAGACAGAAGATGTTTCTTGGCCATTGTCCTGTAGATTAGAGAACTTGTTCTCTCATTTAGGTCTAGGTATTTCCTCAGTAGACTACAAAAGTATATTATATACTGTTGAGCCACATATTCTTCTGTGCTCTGAGATACAGCTGTGAAACCAGTTTAGAGAGTGCTCTTTTCTAATTATAAATAAATTAACTTTCAGAAAAGTATGTGAGAGGTTAAGAATAGTAGTGCAAGAGAAGCATTAAAAATAGGATGGCCAGGAAAGGACCCCTACTAGGGACAGCTTCCATCATACAAATATGAAGTGAGGGAGGGAACCACACTGCTTTCTGGAGGAAGAGTATTTCAGGCAGAGAGAACAGCTGGCCCAAGGCCCCAAGGGAAGAATCAGCTTGAGAGTATTGACATCAGGAAGGACAGCAAGAACGTTGTATGATTAAAAAGACAGAGAGGGAGATGGGGAGAATAGCAAGGTGTGAATTTAGAGAGGTGGACAGGACCAGAACCATAGTCTGTGAGCCAACATAAGGACCAAAGTATGAATATGAGAAGCCATTGGAAAACATGATCTGGTGTGATTTGTACTAAAGACATCACTAGTGCCACTGTGTAAAAACTGTCAAGAGTGGAATTAGGGAGACCAATTGAGGTTGGCTTAACAGTGACAGCAAGGTTGAAAGGGGTCACACCAGGTAATATTCAGAAAGAGGAGTTAAGATATGAGTTAATGGACAGTCAGAACCCAAATATGATGCTGGAGCCTTATATGGAAAGACAAAGATATGTTTGAATATAGTAGGTTGAAGTGTATACACTGTACCCAAGTGAAAATGCCAAATAGGCTACTGCAAAATTGCATCAGTATCTCCAGAAAGGTGGGACTAGAGGTACCTATTCATGATGTCAGTATGTTTATTTTAAGACTATGAGACTGGAAGAGTTATCCAAGAAATGGATAGAATTTTAACAATAATAGTAATAGAAAGAACAGGTCAAAAATAATTGATCCCTAAATGGTCCAGCATTTAGTCAAAACAATCTAGCAAAGAAACACTGAGGGCACCATATGAGATAGAAGTAAAGCAAGAAATCCAGTGTCACAGAGGCCCACAGAGGGTATTTTAAGATTTAAAAAAAAAAAAAAGTACGGCTTAAGAGCTGGCTCAGCAGTTGAGAGCACTTGCTGTTCTTACAGAGGACCCACATCAGACCCACAGCTCACAACTGCTTGTAATTCCAATTCCAAGAGATCTGATACCTTCTCTGGACTTATACAAGCACTGATTACATTAGATATACATACATTCAGACACATACACATGAAATAAACAAATCTTTATAAAATAGTGGTAAACTATATCAAATAAAAAAACAAGAATGGGTGTCAAGATTGACCAGTCCTGTTTGCTCATGGGATAATTTATGGGACTCTTAAATATAACTGATCTGGGCAGTGCTAAAGACAAATGTCTGGGTTGATATGGCCTTGAGAGAGAATAGAAAAAGAAAAGACGAACACAAGGTGTTTAAATAATTCCCTTGAGATCTTTTAATCTAAAATCATTTGTCTGTGGATGCTGAAGCCTCCAAGAATGAGGACAGGGCTGTCAACAGTAGAAAGTTATAGAGACATTGAAATAGGAAAGAAAATCCATGCAAGAGCTGGGCATGGGAGAAAGTGGCTTTTAGAAAAGAGATTTGGTGTTCAGTTTATCAGGTAACAGGCACCCATTTGAAGAACAAATGGCAGAGTCTAGCATTTCTCTTTGTAAAAAATGTTAAATTGGAAAAAATAACCACATTTGGCCAGTGGTGATGTCACAGTGTGTTATCGACTTTATGTCCAAAATGAACACAGAATGGTATTTGTTACCTTTTTCATTTATCATGGCCAAGAGAATCAATTGACAGAGCACTTCTACTAATATAGCCTAGGATCACAGGACCAGGGTAGAAATGAAGTAACACATGGCTATAGTTCCTGAAATATCCAATAGGCACATAGAGTGCACTACTTGTATTGGTATAACAGGCTGTTTTCTCTATTGGAAAAACCTGCATGGGAAGCCAAACAGCAGTGGAAACTTGCTTACTAATTGACAATGAAAAATATTACTCATAGAAGCCAGTCTGTTTGTTGCTTGGTAAGCACAGAGTTAGAACAAAGGAATTTAGATAAAACTAACAGTTAATGGTACTGGGCTGGGGCAAGGTGAATCGGTTTTATCATCTTCTAAGGCAGTAAAAAGATTAAATGTCTTCTCACTGTTGCTTACTGCATATGGCTTTGTAATGGGAAAGAACTTGCAGTGATATGGCATTTAGATGAGACACCTTTATTGATGAACACTTTTTGATGTTTCTGTGGCTGACCAGCCTCTCAAAATGTGAACTTCTTGGATCTGTAGGGGTTTTCATTTGTTTGTTTGGTTGGTTTGGTTTTGATTTTTTGGTTTTTCAAAACAGAGTTTCTCTGTGTAACTTTGGCTGTCCTGGAACTCACTCTGTAGTATCTCTAGTTCTAGAGCCCAACAATTGCACCTACACACAAGAATGTTCACTTATGTGCACACAGTCTGTAAATGGAAGAATGGGGCAGAAGGGTGGCCAGCCAAGTGCATGAACTTTTATTCATTCTCTTGTTGCTCAGCTAAGATCTTCCTTATCTTTTATAGATGCTGGGTTTCTTGTTTCTCTCTGTGTCTATAAATTAGATTTTAAGGGCTAGCTGCTCTTCCAGAGGACCGTAGTTCGGTTCCCAGCAGCTAGGGTAGCTCACAACTGCCTGTAACTCCAGTTCCAAAGGATATGGCACCTTCTTCTGACTTCTACTGACATCTGCATATGTGTAACATATACACACACACAAGCACACACCTAGTCACATAAATAAAAGTAAATCTAAAAGAGAAATGAAAAATCTCCAAGTACTTAAGATATCTTAAAAAGAAAAAAAATGTCTTGATAATATTGTATCCATGACTTTCTGCCCTGAAATTTCCCTTTTAAAATGACTTTGTTTAGATCCTTTTTATATCATTTCTAATGTGATATATAGTCTATTTTCAGTCTAACTCCTACCCTCCACTTACAACAAAATAGGAGAATAATTTCCAGTTACAGCCAACAGTAAATAAGATAGAGGAAGAATTTGGATTAGAAACTGCACAGATACAAACAACAGTGATCCTGTGCTTTTATGTGACCATTTTTATAAGGATATGACTGGAAATGATGGATTAGAACTGTACAGTGGTCAGAGCTTCATGTTGTTTTCTTGCTGTTTTGATGGTAGTTGGTCCTACACAGTGGTGTGATTAGAAGTGTTGTCCCATCTGGGCTTGCAGACCCATATCACCACTTCTGCCCTCTGGCGTCATCCATTCCTCCATTTCACGGTGATTATTTTGAGCAAGTGTGAGACAGAAAATTCACTGCATGCTTTAGGGAACCAACTCAGTTTTCCACAAGGGAAAGGAAAGTGGGCATAATGATGGAGGAATAAGCACAATCAGCAATGAATTCCTGTGTTAATAATTATTGTCATTTTCTAACCCCAAATTTGTAAGAAAAAATTCTGTTGAGAGAAGAGTTCCCCCAAAGTGCAAAGCACCCAAAATGAATCAGGAAGAAAATCACAGCCAAGACACTACACACTTTTTATGAGGAAATATCTCCACAGAAACAAATAACAAATCTGCAGTTTCAACATGGAATTATCCTAAAGTGCATTTTTAGAATTGGATCATGGTAGTCCTAGTGTGTTGTCAGTATAGTGTTGGAGCCACTAGCACTACCTGTGAATGTGTTCATAAATCCAGCTCTAGTAGCCAGCTTTGCTAGGAGACTATCAGAACCATTATGCTATTGTCCCTAGCTGTGTGTTTGTTATCTATTACAAGGTATTCTCACCTATTACCTGCCATGACACTGAGAACCATTTTCCTGCTATTGATTTGTCTTCATTTTTTATCCATTATGAAATCTGCATTTTACAGATATATATGTATGTATTTTTATAAAATAAGATATATATATGTGTGTATATTGTAAGAACCACATTATGCAAGAGATCTACATAGTAATTTAACTGATTTCACTTTAAAGAACTGTGAAGTTTTTTTTTTAAGATGCTACTGTTTGGAAATTTGATCAGTATATAATCATAGTTTTCTGGATGCAACAATTTTTTCTAGGTAGGCTTTGTGAATTCCATCTGTAGTGCGCTGTGATTCCCAGGACACAGCTTGACAGGACTGATCAGCATTTTTTGTGCACCTTATGTAATGTAGCACTGAATCATTTCTTCTGTGTTTCTCAGTTCAAACCCTGTGCTGAAAAATATGTGGCCCGAAGGCAAACTGAGCATTACAGAAGTGACCAAGCGACCTCTGACCGCTGCCACCTTGTTTAAGAATTCTATGATTGCTTTAGTGGACAACCTTGCTTCAAAGGTAATTTATTTTCTAAAAGTCCTACATATTCATAGATTCCCTCTTAACATACAATGTGGCAAATGCATGAATGATTTACTTTTTCTGTAATTATTCTTAATTAAGTTGAACATATATATTCAAAGTGAATAATAGAATTTTTATTCTTACTTTTTAAAAAAAGTGAGTAAAATAATTGTTTGTCTGCTGACCTGAACAAGGGGGAGCTCATGGACTCCAGTCTGATAGCTAGGAAACCAGCATAGGACTGACCCAGATTCCCTGAATGTGATGTAGCTGGGAGGTCTGGGCAGTCTGGGGCCTCTGGTAATGGATCTGTATTTATCCCTAGTATACGAATGGACTTTGGAAGTCCAACCCACATAGAGGGATACTCCCTCAGTCTAGACACATGGGTTAGGGCCTGAGCCCTGTTCCAAATGATATGACAGACTTTAAAGATAACCCATGGAAGGCCTCACCCTCCCTGGGGAGCAGAAAGGGGATGGGATGGAAGTTGGTGGAGGGAACGGGGAGGACAGGAGGGTACAGGAACTAGGATTGATATGTAAAACAAGCTTGTTTCTAATTTAAATTGTGTTTGTGTGTGTGTGTGTGTGTGTGTGTGTGTGTGTGTGTGTGTAACTGTTTGTATCCCAAATGAATTTCTTTATTAAATTTGAACTTTTTATTGTACCTTTAAGGTCAAGGGGGAGACTGTCATTGGGGTTTAACTATATGTATGATATATACTGTGCCTGGAAAAATAACCTGAATCCGTGCTGGAAGGCAGGGCATGGCCAGAGAGGGGAGGGAATGTAACTACAATCATATGTAACTATCCATCTATGTGTTATGTTTGAATAGCAAGTAACCAAAAGGGGTTTAAACAAAAATTTAGCTTATAAATCTTACCTTCACATCGCTTTAAATGGTTGGACTACACAAATGATTAATGACAGTTATTTCTAAATTTTGCTATTACTTTGATTCTAATGCCTGATTACTTGAGTCTGGCTATTTTTCCATTTTATTTTTAAGTATGGGTTTTATTTTCCTCTCCCTTAAAGAAAAGATTTCTGCTCCTAACTGCTCTGTTGACAGGTTTGACAAATTAGCAGCATTCTGGGACTTGTTATTTTTAGCTCTTTTCTTTATATCTTCCTCGTCTGGTAATTTTATTGTATGTTTCCTTCTTTGTTATTATCTTTTTTTTAAAAAAATCTATTTTCCTTCTAAAAGAATTAATTTGCATCTACGCTTCACCATGGTTACATTAGGCAAATGCTACAAGCACACATCTATCTATTCAGTAGCTTTCTATCTCTTCCTGTCATCATTCTGTAGTCTCAACTGGCAGTGCTGAAGCACAGTCCATTCTCTTGTATAATTGCAATTCCAGAAACATGGAACTAATAGCTGGAATGCCATCAGCAGACCTGACTCTCTCACATCTACTTTTCTCCTCATGTCGTCTTTATCCTGCTGCATCCAGTTAAGAAGAGAGTGAACCTAGGAAGAAGATGTGCAGCATAGGAGAGAGCTGCCTGCTTTGTGCAGGGTATTCACTCAATTAACTAATAGAAGAATCATCACTTTTAAAAACTGATAAATGTACCTGTAATCTTGGGAGGATTGCAACTGTAAGGCCTGATTATACTGCACAGCAAATTCCAGGCCAGACTTGGCTACAAAGTGAAACCCTGTCTCAAACCCAGGGACTATGAGAAGAACCAAATTCTGACCTTTTTTAATACATCAAAACAATTCTGTACCCAGGGAATAGGAAATATGTATTCCTTTCAAGTATAAATGGGACACTTTGCAAGAATTGACCACATGCTAGCTCACAATGATGCAACTATTTTGAAAGAATATATATACAGATACATTCTCCATCCTCAAAGCAATTTATTTTAATATGCTTGAAAACTCTAAAAATAAAATGTTTTCCTAAATAAGTCACAGATTTAAGATGATATCACAATGAAAATTATGAAATATTTGAGACTGCTTGACAAAGAACTTTATATAATAATAGCATTTATATAATGCTATTAAAGTGAGCCATTTGGTATGCCTTTGTAAAACAACAAAGTTTGCTAAAAGTACGTAAGTTCAACTCAAAGAGCCAGAAGAGAAACTCAAAAGAAAATCTAGAGAGAGAAGAAAATAATGTAATAGCAGAAATTAGCCATAATGGAGACATCCAAAAAAAAAATCTAGTAAATAGACAAAACCTCTAATAGAACTGGTTAAAAAATAATAGAATGATGAATGAAAGGTTGCAATAACCACTGATTCTAGAAGTTAACATGTTATGAATAACTGGCTGCTAGCACATTTAAAATTTTATTTTGCTAGGAACATATTAAACTTGATTCGAGCTGAAATAGAAAGTCAGAATAAAACAGTAACCTTGAGGATTCTGAATTACTAATCAGAAGTCTACTGCCTTCCATCTCTATCAAGAACATCATGCCTGATGGTTTCACAGTTTGTAAAACTAGTAATACACAGTAGCTATCAACTATTTGGAAGATGGGAAGAGAAGCTGACAACCAACTCACTTTAACAGGAACACAGACAAAAGATCCTAAAAGTGTGTATGAACATTGCTTTTCTTGGCAGCATAGTAAATGCAGTGCTTACTAATGATACCTGAAACAACACAAGTAGTAACTAAATTTATTTTAAAAATCAACTTTCTGAGTGCAACTAGAAACTAGTAACATTAAGAAATCTGTGTAAATATAGAAATCAACTGAGTGGAAGCACAGCCTTAAAGCTCCCTTTTCACCTAGGAAGTTTGTTGAAATATCTAGCTCTAAGGATGATTAATCAGCAGTCAGGTCTGAGTCCTTGAACTGAAATCTTGGCCTTACCCAAAGTTGAGTGATAATACACACACACACACACACACACACACACACACACACACACACACACATACACACACACCTACCTTCAAAGACTTACATCTTCAAAAGGCCACATCTAGAATGATTACAAATAACCCTCCTCTAAGCAATAGTGGAGAGGCTACCTTAACTGTCCTTCCCCTATAATGAGATTGATGACTACCTTATATGCCATCCTAGAGCCTTCACCCAGTAACTGATAGAAGCAGAAGCAGAGACAGACACACAGCCAAATACTGAGCTGAACTCCTGGAATCCAGTTGTAGAGAGGGAGGAATGATGAGCAAAGGAGTCAAGACCAATCTGGGGAAACCCACAGAAACAGCTGACCTGAACAAGGGGAGCTCATGGACCCCAGACTGACAGCTGGGAAACCAACATGGGACCGAACCAGGCCCCGGAATGTAGGTCTCAGTTAGGAGGCCTGGGCAGTCTATGAGGCCTCTGGTAGTGGAACAGTATTTATCCCTAGTGTACAAATGGACTTTGGAAGCCTATTCCACATAGAGGGATACTCTCTTAGTGTAGACATATAGGGAAGGGCCTAGGCCCTGCCCCAAATGATGTGACAGATTTTGATGATCCCCCCCCCATGGAAGGCCTCACCACCCTCCCTGGGGAGCAGAAGAGGCATGGGGGGGGTTGGTGGGGAACATGGGCGGATGCGAGGGAGAGGGAACTAGAGTTGATATATAAAATAAGATTGTTTCTAATTTAAATTTTAAAAAAATGGTTGAATCTTGGCAATAACCTAAAATATATTATACTTTAATCAAAAAAAAAAAAAAAAAGCAGAAAAAGAAAGAAAGAAACAACCCTCCATTGTTTATGAGGAAATTGACTGTCTTGGTCTTTGACACTAAGCCAAAGGTTATCAAATATTGGAAAGCAGTAAATCTTTTTTGAGATTATGTAATTGTAAGCCAGCTTTAATGAGCTCTGCAGCCCACACTCACACTACCTATGTAGGCTGGAAAATCTTCAAGCCAGCAGTTAATGGTAGTCCAGGTCTTGTATTGCCCCAAGCTTCTGGAAGAAGCAAATACAATTATTTTCATGAAGTTATCACCTTCATATCAGACCTCAAAGACTTTCCACCAAAAAAAAAAAAAAATTCTAAGGAAAATAGTTGCTACAGGAGCAGGGGAGTTCTCTGGAGAGATGGCTTGGTGATTTAGAACATTTTTTGCTTTTTGAGAGGACCCAAGTTCAATTCTCAGCACCCACATGGTGACTCACAACCATGGGTAATTCCAGTTCCAGAGAATCTGACACTCTCTTCTGGCCCCTCTGAGCACCAGACACACACGTGGTTCACATACATACATTCAGGCAAAACATTCATAATAATAAAATAAAATAATCTTAAAAAATAAAAATAATGAAGTTTTTTAAATGACTTCAAGATGTCATATGCTAGAGTGATATTAAACAAAAGGCCCAGATGAAAAGTCCTGAACTAGAACAGTCACAAATAGAATCCACAGCTGGGAGATAGCTCCCTGGATCAAGCATGAGGATCTGCATTCAGAACCCAACACCCATGTAATAGCTGAATAATGGTATATCTCTATATCCCCAGTGCTGACGGTCAGAGACAGACAGATCCTAAGGGCTCATTGGCCAACCATTCTTAATAAAACAGTAAGATCCAGGTTCATTGAAAGACTGTCTCATGAAATAATATGAAAAGGTTAATGAGGAAGACACCCTATATAAACCTCTGGCCTTTACATGCCTACTTACATGGGGTGGGGAGAAGACATGCACCACACACACACACACACACACATACACACACATACACACACACACACACACACACACACACACACACACAAAATACAAGATGTTTATTATAACTCAAGTGAAGGGCCTGGAAATATGATAAAGAACAAGTAACTAGACAAGTTACAGAAATAAAGCTAAACAAAAAATAGTAAAAATAATTTTTTAAATATCTAGAATTGCAGTTAGAGCTATGAAGCATAAAGATACATGGAAAACACCCAATATTATGTACTCAGGAATACAGGAAAGGACTAGTAGACCAACACTTGAAGAAATTTGCCCAAGAATTCTAAAAATGTTGTAAGACACCACATGCCAGGCAATCTGGAAGCTGAGCAGACCCCCAAATTGGGAAAATGAAAGGAAATCTGATTTGACACCTAGTGACATCCAGAACATCAAAGGGAAAACATCTTTGTGTTTGGTTTTACTGTTTGGGTGGCAGGTCTTATCATGTGGCCTGGGGTATCCTGGAGCTCTCTACAGCTAAGAGTAATCTAGAACTCCTGGTCTTCCTGTCACCCTCCCAAGTGCAGGGATTACATGTGAGACCACCACACCTGGTCCAAAGACAAGTCTCTAGAAAGCAGCCAAAGAAAAGATAGATTAGCTTCAAGAGGTTAATAATCAGACAGAGTGAAAATGACTTAACTGAAGTTCAGTACCCAGAGAATGTCTTTCAAGAACAAAGATATAATAATAGACTCTGAAAAAGAGATGTTGAGTGTTCACCACCATTCAAAGCTCACTAACAACTTAAGAGTCCGTGCCTTGAGCCAGAAGCAGCCTTGCAGTTGCACTCGCTTCGGGCTGATGTTTTCTGATCTGGGCCAGAGGCCTTCTTAACACTTGATCTGTAGCATGTGGAAGAGTCTTATCCCCCCACCCCCATATTTTTCTCTAGTGTCTGTCTTTCAGGGTTTCATCAGGGAGGCTGGTGAGTACTACTTAGTCTGTTTCCCAGAAGTGGTACTCCGTGGGGCATTTCTCCAGTGTTTCAAGTGTACTATCTTCTCTCTTCACCAGGATTATCTTTGAAATACAGAGAATAGGTCCTATTTTAGGTACATTTTTATAGCTTTGATGCTACCAACAGTTGTTAAATGAATTTGAATATGCCTTGACTAACAGTGTGCAAAGCAAATCAAATAGATGTACATGTAAATGCATTACCTTCTAGGTAATGTGTGCACCATTTGGCATACTTTTACAAATTATATTTTCCACATAAAACCTAGGGAGACAGGTTAAGAGAATGAGATCACTATGAACTCTGGCAATTTAGCCTTTATACAACACAGAATTTGTCAAATTTAGGATTGCTTAGGCTGAGTCAGTCTTGGTATTTATAAGTGAGAAAGGAGGTGGCATTTTACACTGAGACAGAATGATGATTAAATATAGAGAAAGTATTTCCACTAGATCCCTTACTCAGTGATTCACTAAGCAGGCTGAAAGGGCTTTCCCACTTGCTGGTTGGTTGTTAGTGTCTCATGGTATTTCTGCCTCCTGTATGCAGTTGCTCAGTGCTGGTGCAATTCCACTCATCTGTTCACAAGTCTCAGGTACTGCCTCAGGGGATGCCTTGCACTTAACTGCTGTGTCCCCGCCACTGCATGTGTATTCTGTTCAAAATATTTTCTAATTCACCTCATAATTTTGACCTCTGAAACATTCAGAAATATGTTTGTTAATTTTCAAGCATGAATGCTTCCTAATTATCTCTGTTACCCTTGATGTCTAACTATAGCATTTCACCAGAGGGCATCCTCAGTGTGATGACAATCCTTAGAAATTTGTTAAATTTGTCTTACATGTATGTTTTATTTGTATTAAAGATAGCTTGTATTTTGCACAAGTCCCATTAGGTCGTTTGACTTTCATATTGTCCAACTTTAGCATCTTTACTAAATTCTTTGTTGGGTTGAAAGGTGAATTCAAAACCATGTTGACTCTGACTTTATCTACCTTTCCTCATGTGCCTCGTGTACTTTCAGTCTTTGCTTTAAGTGTTTTGGGAATTTATTCATTCATGTTAGAACTACTACATCTTTCTGTTATTTGTTCCAACTGTCTATTTAAAACATCCCTTTTTTTTCTCATTGTTTTTATCTTTAAGTCTGCTTTGCATGACTTCTCTTTTGACTAGTGTTTATATAGTTTCTTTTTTAGCTCTTGAATATTTATTTATTTCATTGTCTCTATGTGAACCTGAATATATATGTGTTTGTGTGTGTGTGTGTGTGTGTATGAGTATGTATGTGTGTGAATATATATACATATATATATACATGAGCATGTGTGTATATGTGTGTGTATATATGCATGTGTGTATATATATATATATATATATATATATATATAAAAATAAATTATTCTGCAGTACCAAGCCTTCCCCATCAAGATGAACTGAATGTTCAAAAGCACTGAGCCCAAATATATCCTAGTTGGACACTATGGAAGTCAAACTTGACCTACTAGGATTTTCACAGAATACTGAGTATAAACTATCATTAAATGCAAACAAAATATGCATGTAAGGTAAATTTAACAAATTTCTAAGAATCAGACTCACTCTCCCATCAATGATTAAAATAGAGTAAAATAGAGATAGACATGTTAGGCAGAATAACGGCCTGACCTGGTAGCACTAACCCTGGTACCTGCTGGGTATCTTATAATTCAATTCCCTTCTGACACTACTAGCCAAATTTGCCATCAAATTCAGCAAGTTAAAGGACAAAGTTGCTAGTAAGACTGATTTTTTTTTTTTATTTCAAATGCCATCTTCATTTGAGGTTGCTGGGGGGCACACTTCTGTGTGACTTGGATACAGTTTTTAGAGTTCCTGAAGACCCTTATTTATATTTAATAATTTGTTAGAATGATTCACTGAACTTAGAAATGCTATCCCTATGATAACAGTTTTATTATGAAAGCTACGAACAGCCAGATGAGAACATAAATAGGCTGTCAAAGGCTGGAAGTAAGATCCAAGCACAGTGGCTTTCTGTCCTCAAGGAGTAAGGCTGTACCATTCACCTAATACAACGTTACATCCTCTGAGCCCAAGTGTTGTGAGTTTTTAATCAGGATTTGCTGATTAACTCATTGGCTGCATAATTTTCTCTCTATACCTTTTATTATGCCTTATTTACTTTTGTTATTCCATAGATTTCTCCCCACCCCTACCGCCCGATGTCCATGGCCTAATTTAGTAGCCCATGTGACTGTGATACACAGAAAAGAGATGAAATTAAGATCTTATTAGCAGTCCTTAAAGTCAGATATTATCCAAGGACATCCAGGTGGGTTCCGTATATAATTACCACACCCTCTGTTAGGGGAAAGGGAGGCAAAAGAGTCAAGAAGCAGAAGCTGATATGAGAAGACTCAACTAGCTGTATAGGAGATGAAGGGGAGTTCCTGGAATGTGGGCCTCTTAAGAGTTGGCTATGTTAGTCGGACCTCACTGTTGAGACACTTGAAAAGAGGCAAGATTTATTTATGACAGGAAGAACGTGGAAGATCAGAGCAGCTCATATCATGGCAGTCAGGAAGTAGAGTGCTATAGGTAGTCTGCTTGCACTTTATTCAGGTCAAGCCCCCAGCCTCTAAGGGTGTGCTGCTCCCATTTCCCCTTTGTTAATCCTCCCTCTGAGCACCCTCACAGCGAGTGAAGAAATGCACTTTTATAGTCTCCTAGATACATCTCAGTCTAATCAAGTTAACAATCAAGACTTACACCAGAGAAGATGAACAAGGTTATCTCCAAGGTCCCTGAAAGTAATAATTCAATAACACCCTGATGCTAGCTCACTGAAATCCACTTTAGACTTCTAACCTCCACAGCCTTGAGATAATAAAATTGTATTATTTTAAGCCACTAAATTTGTCATAATCTGCTACAACAACAGCAGGAAGCTAATACAGCAGGATTTGCAAAAAGGAAGGAAACAACTTTATTTTTTATGGTGTAGAGAATGTGATAAATATATAACTATGGTTTCCTTCTTAGATATTGGAAACTTACTTAAGTGCAAATCAATTCATATCCCTCAACTTTCCTATTTCTTAAATCATTTCCTACCTGTCACCATCCTCCAGCCCTCCACAGTACTCAAAACTACCTAATATAACTGTGTAGGACTCTGTTTTAATTAAGGTGCATCTGTGTGCCTGACAGATAATGGATTCAGAGACTCAATAGTCTTACAAGTGGGATATATTTGACCTCTTCGATTCATCCAGTGATAATTTATTCATTATCCTCAGTGAACCAGGATCTATGCCAAGCACAGCTTTATATTTAACAGGAGTTGTAATCTAATGCCTGGTACAAAATGTAATTGGCATAGAGGGGAGAATTTCTAGTGGGGCTCTTTCATAGACTCAATAATGCCTATAGATGGTTTTATAACTTCCGTTACCCATAAAGTTTAATCTCTTTCAAAAGCACAAACTAAAACAACAACAACAATGATATGTGAGAGCAATGGCTGACACTTAGGGAGCACTTGCACTCTCTCAGACCACCTAACCTTAATCTGTCAAGTTCTCCATCACAGTTGATCTTTACCATAGCTGCTGCTTTCTCTTCTTTTGAGTTATTCCTTCAGTTATTTATTTATACATCTTAATTATTTGCTCCTTAGTTTTAATCTCTTTCTAGTATTCCTGATGAGTCTTAAACACTAAAAATATGAACAATGATTACATTACCCGGGTGATCCAAGGCACTGAGCTTAATTTGACACAGTTGACACTGATATGCAAGCATCCCTTGTCTAGGTCTACAGTGAATTCTGTCATTGCTTACTTATTTCTTTAGGAACCATACTACGTACGTTGCATCAAACCCAATGACAAGAAGTCTCCACAGATATTTGATGATGAGCGCTGCCGCCATCAGGTGGAATACCTTGGACTACTGGAGAACGTGAGAGTGCGCCGGGCAGGGTTTGCCTTCCGCCAGACCTATGAGAAGTTTCTTCATAGGTAAGGGTAGAGTGTGCAACAGAACTCAGTTACACCTAGAATTATGATGATACAGTAGCCATGTTAGGCCATCTGCAAGCATCTATTAAGTGAACAGAAAAATCAGAGAAGCTATACATATGAGAAACTTCTCCAGAATCTGCAGAATTCCCAAGTTTGTAGTTTATAGATTCTGGAAGAGTGTTCAGTCATTTTGATGGGAATGTGAGGAGGAACATGATTTAGAGTCTCACGTAGAACTCTGCTGCAATACTTACTTCCCACTTATTCCTAAGCCAGATGATTCACCTCTAATCTTATGTCTGTATCTATAAAATGAATATAAAGACTTTACTGAATGGTTGTTGTGAGAATTAAGTAAAAGTCCCAGTCCCCGGCACATAATAGATATTCAGTACTACTATCATTACTGATACAGTAATTATCATCATTTTAATAAGTTAAGCATGGAGGTTCTGAATTAACTTCTTTGAATCTTGGATTCACCACTTTCTAGTTGTATGACTCTTATTTATTTGTTTTGTTTTGTTCAAGACAAAGTTTCTTTGTGGCTTTGGAAGCTGTCCTGGAACTAGCTCTTGTAGACCAGACTGGCCTTGAACTTACAGAGATCCACCTGCCTCTGCCTCCTGAGTGTTGGGATTAAAGTCATGTGCCACCACCACCCAGGGAAATTAGTGAGTTTTAAGCATAGATGTCTTCAAGGAATCACCATGGTGACCCTGTGCCCATTCTGCTACTGAAGGAGGCTAGAAAAGATAGCTTACAAACAGTGTCTTGGTGAACAGGGTGTCACTGTAGATATGAGAGTAGTAGACACATTCAGAATGTATTTAGAGCTAGATGACAAGGCTTGTACATGAATGTCCTGTGATGAGTCAGGAATAGAAAAGAATGAAAAATGACAAGTAGATTTTTGGTTTGAGTATATCTGGAATAAAGGACATTTGACGTGGCTAGAGAGATGGCTTAGTTAGTACAGTGCTCACCATACAAGCATGAAAAGCTGAGTGTAGATTCTCAGCACCCACATAAAAAGCCAGGCGTAGATGCACACCTATAACCCTACTGTTGAGGAGATGGAAATAGGAAGATCCTAGGGGTTTACTGACCATCCAGTCTATCCAAATCAGTAAGAGAGATCCTGTCTGAAAAAATTAGAGAGGGATAAAGGGTAATACCCAGTGTTGATCTTTGACCCACACACACACACACACACACACACACACACACACACACACACACACACAATGCATGTACACAAATATACATTTCTACCCCCACCCCTCATGAACCTATAAATTTCCAATATGGTAGCCTTAGTGTCTCAAGATTAAATACCCCATTCCTACCACCAAACATCCTCAAATAATGCAAAACATGTATATGTATGTGCTAGTTGGTTTTTATTGTCAACTTAATACAACCTAGAGTTACCTGGCAAGAAGGAACCTCAGCTGAGGATTTTTTAGATCAGATTGGCCGGTTGCCATATCTATGGGAGATTATTCCTTCATGGCTCTTGCTTCCAGGGTCCTGCCTTGAGTCCTTGCCCTCAGTGATAGACTATGACCTAGAATATAAACTGAAATGAATCCTTTCCTCTGCTAAATTGCTTTTGTCCACAGTGTTTATCACAGCAACAGAAAGAAAACTAAACAATTTTTAAAATAGCTAATGCACAGCCAAGATAGGTAATCAAAAAAAAAAAAAAAAAAGATTCTCAATGAACCTTAAAGATGTGTCTTACTCATAAGCATTGCCAGCTTTGTTCTTCCTCCCTAAGCTAATTAGAGCTCCAGAGCAGCATTGAGAACCCATCCTGGAAGCATCCTTGTCTTATGTCTGTAAAGAGAAGAATGCTTCCAAGGTCACCTACTTGCAGATGATAATTGTTATTAAGTTTTTGGTGAGTATCCTTCCAAAGATTAAGGCAGTCGCTTTCATTCCCAGTTTAGTAAGAATTATCATCAAGGAATGTTTTAGTGAAGATATTCTCTTCATCTTAACAGGCCACTTTTCTTTGGAGTTGGCTAAAATTTTAATGAGAAGTTTTCCTGTTAAGATCACAATAGTTTTTCCCTCGTTTGATTTGTGCCCTGTTCTTCCTCCATCCAGGTACAAGATGATCTCCGAATTCACCTGGCCTAACCATGACCTTCCTTCAGACAAAGAGGCTGTCAAGAAACTCATAGAACGATGTGGTTTTCAGGATGACGTAGCTTATGGGAAGACCAAAATTTTCATTCGAACACCCCGCACATTGTTCACCTTGGAAGAACTTCGTGCCCAGATGCTCGTGAGGATTGTCCTCTTCCTACAAAAGGTAACTTCATGCCTTACATGTAAGAATTTCTTTGCATGTTCAAAACTTTACTAAATGTTTTTCTTGATTCAAGAAATGTCTATGGGCCTGGAGAAATGGCTCAGCAGTTGCGAGCACTGGCTGCTCTTCCAGAGGCCTTGAGTTCAATTCCCAGCAACCACATGTTGACTCACAGCCCTCTTCTGGCCTGCAAGCATACATGCAGGCAGAGCACTGTATACATAATAAATAAGTACATCTTTGAAAGAAAGAATGAAATATGTGAGGATGGGTGGATAGTATAGTTTGTGGGTCTTCATACACCTTCACATTTTACCTCAGACATGGATACTAATTCCACATTTCATTGACTTGTAGCTCTCATCATGGATGTGTTCAGGGCTGCCTTCTCATTAGATGCATGTATTCATTCTTTTGATCCCCATGCTTTTTCATCATATCTTCCACTTTAAAATAAAATTATATGTGTGAGCAAGGTATGATGGTTCACACTTGTAGTCCTAGCACTCAGGAACCTGAGTCAAGAGGATCACAAGTTTGAAACCAGCCTAAACTACATAGTGAATTCTAGATCAGCCTGAGCCACAGAAAAAGTCCTTGCTTCAACAATAAAAAGAATGTGTGTGTGTGTATGTGTGTGTGTGTGTGTGTGTGTGTGTGTGTGTACACATATATATTATGTGTATACTTTTAATTGCATACTTCTGTGAAAATGTCCAGGGTCATAACATATCTCTTTATATAACTGACACAAGTACTGTCAGGTTTTTATTCAGAGCAACTACCAATTGGTACAGCCATTACCTATTGGTTATCTACTGAGGGTGACTGTGTGCCTATATCCCCACCAGTATGATATTGCTCCCTACATTTTTATCAGACTAATCAGTACAGACTAATCAGACATTTCATTGTTGTTTTATGTTCCATTTACCTGATTACTGTTGAACTTGAGCATTTCAATAATTGATTATTTGGGGGGTCTATAAATTGCCTATTCATATCTTTTATAATATTTTTATCCTTTGAGAATTTCGTAAATGCATTTTCAGTATACAGCTACACACACATCATCTTCTTCTTCTTCTCCCCTTACCACCCTTTCTACTCCCTCACAACCCTTGCCTTTGACCTTTAAGATTACTTCTCTTTCTCCCTCTTTCCCTATTGAGTTCAATTTGTATTGCTTAGGGTGGTTCTTATAGTCTTTCAGCCACCTCTTCTACAAAGGTCTCTGAGCCTTGGAGGGAGTAGTGTGACATGACTGTCTGAGGATTCCACAGTCTTTTGTTTTCTGTATGTTAATCAGTTAAGGGTCTCTGTGTTAATGTCTACTGCAAAGAGTTTTTCTGATGAGGGATGGTTGAGAGATACTCTCTTTATGGGTACAACAATAAGTCATTTTAGGAATCAATTTAATAATAGTATTGAGTTCTCCCCTAAGGCCTGTGGCCTAGCTATCCACAGGTTCTTGATCCTTTTAATAGTGCCAAATATGGGTTCCATCTCATAGAGCAGGCCTTTGATCCAATCAGAAAGTTGTTGACAACTCCCATAACATTCATAACTATTGTACCAGTGGGCCTATCTTGTCAGGCCAGGAATTATTATAGCTCGAAGGGTTCCCAGCTTGATGAGATTGGTGCTTACTCTTCTCCTCTGGCATCACGCAAGCACCTTCCAGCACTATGAACACTAGTCAGGAGAGATGAAACTTCCAAGTTAATACCAGCTTGATGCCTCCTTGTTCTATGATTCAAGTGTCTAGTGTCTTCAGCAATAGAGCCTTATAGTTAAGTTCTGGGAGACAGGAGTACCGGCATTAGCTTATAACACTTTGGGGTCTATGTGACCCCAATGGCAAAATCAAACAGATTTAACCTATTCCTGGAGCTGAGTTTTTTATTTGCTAGTATGAGGTATCTGGAGCATTATCTCCCTATTGTGGGGCAATTCTAATAAGCCTTTTTATATAATTATACATTTTATGAAGCATCTATTGTTTTAGGCCTTTTGTCTATTTTCTTCAAGTTGGTGACTTCTTGACAATAAGAATTCCTTGAATATTTTTTCCTTTTTTATTTAAATTTGAAACAAGGTTGCTTAACATGTCAATCCCAGTTCCTTCACCCTTCCATCCTCCCCTTTTACCCCCACCAAACCTCATCCCATCCCCTTTCTGCTCCCCAGAGAGGGTGAGTCTAGAGTCTGTCATATCATTTGGGTCAGGGCCTAGGCTCTCCACTATGTGTCTAGGCTGAGCAAGTATCCCTCTATGTGGGATGGGCTCCCAAAATCCATTCATATACTAGGGATAAATACTGATCCATTACTAGAGGCCCCATAGACTGCCCAGTTCTCCTAACTAACACCCACATTCAGGGGGTCTGGGTCTGTCCTATGCTGGTTTTCAAGCTATCAGACTGGGGTATATGAGCTCCCCCTTGTTCAGGCCAGCTGATTCTGTGGGTTTCCCCAGCCTGGTCTTGACCCCTTTGCTCATCACTCCTCCATCTCTGTAATTGGATTCCAGGAGTTCAGCTAGTGTTTAGCTGGGGATGTCTGCTTCTACTTCCATCAGCCACTAGATGAAGGCTCTAGAATGGGATATAAGGTAGTCTCAATCTCATTATCATGGAAGGGCATTTAAGGTAGCCTCTCCACTATAGCTTAGATTGTTAGTTGGGTTCATGCTTGTAGATCTCTGGACATTTCCCTAGTGCCCGATTTCTCCTTAAATCTATAATGGCTCCCTCTATTATGATATTTCTTTTCTCCTTCTCCTCTAATGTTTTCCTGTCTCCGTCTTCCTTCTCACTCATGCCCACCTCTCCCCTCTTCTTCTCCCCTTTTCTTTCTCCTAACTCCCTCTCCCCTCCCTCCATGTTCCCAATTTGCTCAGGAGATCTTGTCCCTTTCCCCTTCTCCAGGGGAGCATGTGTGTCTCTTTTAGGCAGGGGGATCTCTTAAGCTCCAAAACAACCAGGGCTACACAGAATAGCCTTGTCTCAATAAAACAACAACAAAAATTGATAAATGAACTCTGGCTCCTGTGTCCATTTCATTAGTATACAAATTTCCTTTCATCTTTAATAAATGATAAAATTGTATATATTCCAAAGAGTTGTTTTAAAATCTTTATGGTTTATTATTATTAAATGTTTGATTTGTAAACCTATTTTACATATATAACTAACAGTTACCTAAAACTTTCTCAGTGAATAGGGTTCAGAGCAGGAAACACTGAAGAAACCCTATGTGGGTATACAGTAGGATTGGACCATATATAGACCTTTATCCCACAATATCAAATTTAATGTGTGTAATGGGGTCACTAAACATAACAGTAATTTTTATTAGGATTACATTGAATTTACAGAGTCATTTAAAAGGATTAACAATTGTGCAGTATTAAATCTTATTATTATGAGTACAAAATAGGTTTATTTAAATCATCTTTATTGGCCTTTAGACCAAAAGAGGATTTAGGATTCATGATTAATTCATAGATACTTTATTATTTTTGTTGCTAGTATGGGTTTATTATATTTTATACATAGTAATGTTGGTGCAGAAAATAATATTGGCTATGTTGATTTTTCTGCATCCAATGAAATGTTTCTTAACTCTTATTTGTTGACTAGTTTTCCTGGATAAATGATTACATCATATGCACACATAAAAAACTATCTCTTCTCTTATAGTTGCCAAGGTGTTTCTAAGTGCTGGTCTCCATTCACATTTCCTGGAATGAAAAATAACTTTTAAACTAGACTACAAATTTTTGTTTAATCCTCAAACAATTTCCTTGTACCAATTGCATTTTGAATATTGCCTTCGTCTACTTATAGTTTCATTCTTATGAATGATTGTGAACTTGGATCTTTATTTTCCAAAACACTAAACTATTTTCATATACCTGTCACAGATCTTCAAATTGTTTCCCTTAATCCTTGGTGCTCATCTTCGATGGTTGTGGTGGGTGGACTGATTGGTTGGTTGGTTTGTTGCTTAGAATCTTTGAGGTAGGATCTGACTGTGTAATTCAAGCTTGAATTCATGGTCATCCTGCTTCAGTCTTCCAAGAGTTGGGGAAAGTGTATATATATCCATGCCCAATTATTTCTTATAATTTTGTTGTTAATTTTTTTCTTGTCTTCTTTTACATCTAAAACTGTTTTTGCACAGTCTTTTGAAACGGGTTAACTGGCTTAGAAGTTAGTCTGTTCAGGTTCATTTTCTTAGGAAGCCATCTGGAAGGGGCATTTTGTGAGCATAACTAAGTAATTTTGTTGAGGCTTTGTGTTTTCTTTTGTTTGTTTTTGTGTCTGTGTTTTGCTTGAGACAGGTTTAGATTGTAGGCCATGCTAACTTGATACTCAGTTTCACAGAGTATTGGGATTATAGAAATATGTCACCTTGGCAGCTAGCTTTTTCTTGTTCTTTGTGATTTGTTTTTATTTTGTATCTGTTGTAGACTCAGTTTTGATAAGTTTTTCCCTATAAAATCATCCAGATTCTACAGTCATTTCTCTTATACTCACTTTGTTTTTCTTTGTCAGCTTTAGTGATGTATTTTATTATCTTTTCCCATAATAAAATGTGTCTCCATTTTACTTATTCTGTAATTTTCTTTTAATTTATTAATTGTGTGTTTTATCTTGTCAAATCTTTTTTAGTATGAAGAGCAGAAGTGAGATTTTTTCCCCCAATTTCTTTCACATGTGTTAATGATGGACTATGGAATTTGTTCCGGGATTTGCTTTTCTTGTATATATGACTAGCTACTCTCACATTTAAGTGTGTGCGTGTGTGTGTGTGTGTGTGTGTGTGTGTGTGAGAGAGAGAGAGAGAGAGAGAGAGAGAGGGAGGAAGGGAGGGAGGGAGGGGGAGGGAGAGAGATTTCTTTTGTCCCAGTAGTTTTTTGTTTGTTTGTTTAAGATTATTATTTCAGCATGGGAACATATACCTGTAATTTCAGCACTTAGAAGACAGCAGCA